GGACTTCAACACCGCGAATCGGCGCGACTGATGCGTTTTGGCACTCCTAATCCGTTTCAGAACAGTCTTCCTAGGACTTCAGCACCACGAGCCCTCTGAACGGCTGTTTGTCAGCACGAACGTGCGCGGCGCCGAGGCGAGAGCCACATTCTGAAAATGACCCCCCTCCCTCCTTACAACTGTTGCAGACTAGCCTTGCCCTCCAATTGCCGACCACCCGGCGTTATTCGCCAGCCATCCGCAATTCATTGGTTCCAAACGGGGGGAAAGCGCCGAACGATATCGTTAGCCCCCAAGGAATAACTAATGGGTTCCCCGGGAGTGGGAGGGGGAACAGCGAATTCTCAGAGACCTACGGGGATCTTTCACGGGTTCAGCAGGAATCCTCAGGAACACTGCAGGGATTATTGTGGACTCCTCCAGAAACATCAGAACTCCTCCGGAACTGAACGGAGACACGGGAACCTCTCTGAACAAATCTCCACGAGCTTACCCTCCCGGTAGCCAGCACCAAACCTGCACGAACCTCAGTCAGGAATCCTTTGGGAACCCTACAGCAAGCTTCAGGAATCTCCAGGGGACCAGCAGCTTTATAGATGGAGGGCGGTCCTTTTCAAAATGTGTCCCTCGCATTAGCGCCGAGCGCATTCGTCTTAGAGGTTGTTGCAAGAGCTTCGCGCATGGAGGGCGGTTCCTTTTCAGAATGTGGCTCTCGCCTTAGCGTCGCGGGCAGGCGCTTCAAACTTTGCAATAGGGTTACGGATGGAGGGCGGGTCCATTCCAGGGAGTTTCAGTAGAGGGTTTCCTCGGACACCCAAGCTCTCAGACATCCCAGACCTCAGAGATGCCGTCAAGATGTCACGCCAGGTGCTCATCCTCGCGAGCGCCATCGTTGCGGGCCCCAGGGGTCGCCCTGACGCCGAGACCCGACCTTTCATGGAAGATCCCTCGGCGACTGACGCTCTCGGATCGTCAGCATCGCGGGTCTACTTTCAAAGGCTGTGGGAGATCGAGGGCATGAGGTGGATGAGAAACACCGCAGCCGCTCGTTTGAGCCACATCGAAGAATCTTTCAGGGTTTCCGACAACACGCCGGCTGAGACGATCAGACAGTGCCTTGCGGTTCTCGGGAGCTGGGTCCGGAGAAAGATGTGGGTTACTCATCGCGCAAGGTGCTGAAGTGGAGCCCGTGGGCCCGATCGTCCCACATGAGGCATTAGAGATGGGAATTGCGCCGACGCCGTTGCCTTTGCCTCGTCGCAACGGCTGGGTTCGCCTCGAAGTCCTCATCATAACGCGCTCAGGGAGAGGGCCGCGGAACAGCGACACGAATATTTTTCCTCGGTCGCTCAAGAAGCGGCCCATCGCCGTCGTCAGCCCCGGTCAACGTTTTCCTGTCTGCAGCTGGAACCAGGGCTGAGATTCCTGACCATAACAGGGCGAAGGCTCCCAGCCGATTCGGGTGGGCGGCCGCGTTCCCGGGCTTCTGGGTTCCCGGCCCGGATTCCTGGTCGATCTCCTCATCGATCGGTTTCACGATCGATCTAATTACCCATCTTAGAAGAAGAAAAAACGGCATAAACATAAACTGTTGGCGCTCCGCTCGGATTTCTTGGATCTGCGCTGGACTCCCCTGCCTGGCGCGCGGAGCACGCCAGGGGCGGCGCCGGAGGCGCCCCCGGTTGGGGCCTAGCGCGGATCCAAGAAATCCGCGCGGAGCGCCAACAGTTTATGTTTATGTGGTTTTTCTTCTTCGATTATCGATCGGTTTCACGATCGATCTCATTACCCATCTCTTCATCGATCTCACGATCGATCTCACGATCGCAAAGGGCAGCGAGGAGGGCCCACCAGGACGTGGTAAAAGCGTGTCACGCGGCAGCGTGGTGGGCGCCAAGACCGGCGCCGCGCGATACGCCCAGCCGGCGCTCTTCCGGCCATGCTTTTCCGCCAGCTTCCGCCGCCTGCCGCCGAGGAAAACACTAATTCCGGCCTCGTTCACGACGCGATGGGATCTATGGTCTCGGGGGGGCCCAAAGATAGAGGCCTCCTAGATGGGGTCGGAGTACATGTGGTCGGTGCATCGCTCCACATCGCCGATACATCGGCGATGCATCGCCGATGCATCGGCGATGCACCGGCGATGCATCGTCGACGTCGTCGGTGCATCGGCGACGTCGGCGTGGAGAAAATCGGGCTCCACATCGAGCCGCATCGCCGATGCATCGCCGATGCATGGGCGATGCGGCGCGTTCCTCCGACCCCATATACACCAACCCCACCTAGGAGGCCTAGAATCTAAGGTCTCGGGGGTATCCAAAGAGGGGTCGTCCAAGAGGTGGATTCGCAGATCGTGCCCCGAGGCACGTGCGCGGCCCATTGGGGGAGCCATTGGACGTGTTGAAACGCTAAGGGGGGGGGCCATGAGATCCAGGCAAATGTCCTGGCCCCGGCCATGCTATCACCCCCCCCCCTGGTCACCACCTCCCTCTTGGCCGCCCCCGAACGACGCGAGGGCGTCTGCGGCAGATTCGTGCGGCGTCGGCGCGCGCAAAAATTTCTGACACCGCGTCGGTCGTTCGACCTTGAACCGATCGCGGCCCCGATCGTTGAAGGTCGAATTCCGTCGGGGCTCTTACCGTGTCTCTCGGGGCTCCCGTGGCGCAGAATTCAACCTTGAACGCCTTCGGCGGCGTCGCCCGCGCGCCAACGCCGCGTGAACCTAACGTACTTGGGTGTCGGTGTAGCGACAGACCGTGCGGTGACCTCGAAATCCACAGGGACATCACCGCGAGGTCCGTCGCCGTAGGATTCTGAACGACTGCCTACCAGACCACCCCAACCCAACCCGAAGACCATGTGTTTTTTCAATGTTCCCCAACCCCCCCCTCTGGAAATGGAGGGCAAATTGAGGCCTTCGGGTTGGGTTTGGGTGGTTTGGTGGGCGGTGACGAACGACGCGAGGGGGTGTACTTGGGAGTCGGTGCAGCGACAGACCGCGCGGTGACCTCGAAATCCACAGGGACATCACCGCGAGGGCCCGTCGCCGCAGCATGCTGGAGAGAACTCTGGAGGCCTCCGTCGCCCGAGGCGCCCTCGGAGGACGGCCCACGTCCCCAAAAACCGTGCGGCCACCGCAAACCCCCACTGACTCACCGCACGGTTCGAGCACGGCAGGTTCGTGTGACGCCGGCGCGCGCAAAGGTTTTTGGCACCGCGTCGATCGTTGAACCTTGAACCGGTGGCGGCCCCGATCGTTCAAGGTTGAATTCCGTCGGGTCCAGTGGCGTCAACGTGTCCGCGTCGCAGAAGTCAACCTTGAACGCCTTCCTCGGCGTCGCGGGCAGGCCATAGCCGCACGAACATACCGTAGGGGATCGATTTCAGAATTTATTTCTCCCAAGAAGCTGTTCTCTGGTCGAAGCCACAAGCAATATAACTGATCATGTTTGCCGACCTGCGAACGTCCTGCATTTTTCGCATGGTCCGACGAGCAGTTCATCTCCGGGCTAAATCCAAGAAGCAGTATATTTAGGTCGGGTATGTCTCCCTACAGGCGGATGTTGGGCGAAAAATCCAGCATACTTCAAAAATGCCCGCAAGGATTCAATAACATTACAAAAATCGCCCCCAGCCTGTATTTTTTTTGGTGTGACTATTTTTGAATTTCCCCCTGTAGATGGACATGCCCGGCTTAAACCTACGAGCGTCCTGCATATGTTTGGAAGATCCGACGAACAGCTCAACTTCGGGGTAAGTCCACGAAGCAGCAGATCTCCTACTCGAACGGTGTGGCCACCGCACCGCCTGGGGGGCCCCCCCGCTCGAGCCAAGATCCCTGGGGCAGGCATTCTCGCGGTCTGGGGCGCGCGCCGCTTGCAGAACCTGGCGCCCGCGGGGAACGCGGTGCCGCAGTCGCACGCGCCCGGCGCCTCGCCAGAAGCGCCCAAACGCGCGCGGGGGGAGGCTCGCCGTCATCGTCTACACGGCCGTCGTCGTCGTCGGCGCGGTGGGCGTAGCCATCGTCGCGGTCTTCGTCGCTGTCGCGGTCGTCGCGGTCGACGCGGTCGTCATCGCCGTCGTCGCGGTCGTCGCCGTCGTCGTCGTCGTCGCCGTCGTCGTGTTCGCCGTCGCCGTCGCCGAGGTCGTCATCGGTGGTATCGTCATCGTCGTGGTCCTCGAGGTCGTCGAGGTCATCGCCGTCGTCGAGCTCGTCGAGGTCGCTGCATTCTCCTGCACCTCCGCCGCTTGGTGATCCTAGTCTCCTCCTCCGCCGCCTCGCGTTCTCCCACATCCTCCTGCTCGTTCCCTCCTCCCTTGAGGGACAACGAAAGGGGGGGACTGGCATAGGGGGGAGAAATGTCGACCTGGAATCAACATTACATCGCCGATAGATCGGCGATAGGCCCCCGATAGCGAATCCGAAGGTTCCTGGGCAGCGCAAGGCTATCGGGTCGATGGGCGATTGGGGGTCGATGTATTCCCCCATGTGCCTATCCCGTTGCCCCCGATCACTTCATCCGCAAAGTCTTCATCCCCGTGCCAAGAGTCGCCCTCGGCCCTCGACCCTCGAGGAAGAGAGAGCTCTCGACCGTTTGGGGGCTCCAGGGGCCTGCCAGGAGCTCCAGGGGAGAGGAGCCGGGGCGAAGACAATACTCTCACCATCTCCTCGTGTTCGTTCAGCTCCTCCTCCTCCTCCTCCTGCTCCTCCTCCTCCTTCTCCTCCTCCCGCTCCTCCTCCTGATCCTCCTCCCCGTCATCATGCTCCCAAGGCTCACATGCTGAGACGAGTGCCACCGATTGCTCCGTTCATTCTGGAATCCTGACCCTCCTCCTTCACAATCACATTTCTCTTCCTGCTCCTCCTGGAATTCTGATCCTCCTCCTTCCTTAATCACCCCCCACCTCCTCCTATTCCTCCTGCTCCTCCTGCTCCTCCTCCTCCTCCTCCTCATCCTCCGCCTCCTCCGCCTCCTCCTCCTTCTTCTCCTCCTTCTCCTCCTCCTCCTCATCCTCCCCCTCCTCCCCCTCCTCCTCCTCCTCCTCCAGTCGCTGCAGCCCTGGTCGAGCATAGGAGGACACCAAGTGTACACGCACACCAGCCCTGGCTAGGCTCATCGTGGGCCCAGGATCGGTGGAAAATCGCCCTCCTGGCCTGGGCAGGCAGGCACGCACGCCGATCCCGGGACCAAAGACCGGCCTATAGCCAGCTCAGTGTAGGCGCTTGTCCAAAAATCCTACGTTGAAATTCTTTCAGTATGGTGGGGGCGCAAACATGGATTAGCGATCCATGGATTTGGCGAGCAGTCGCCAAATCCACGGATCGGGGGAGGTGCCCTTCCCAAAATGCGGCCATGCCGCCTCGTTCGGCGGCGGAAATCCGCGATTCCCCATGGAAAATGGACCCGTCGCTAATGCACGCCCACTTAATCCATGTTTGCGATCGCCTGACAATACGGCGTCCCTGGAAGCCTCGGTGTTCGTATTTTTCCTTCCCGGGCAACGGTCGTTACCCGAGGGGGCGGGGCTCGGGCGGGATAACAGATACGGCGACCGCGGCGTGCACCCGCCAGGGTGCGTCCGCGCCACCAGCACAATGCCCCCCCAGCATGTAGAGGGGTGTCCAGGCCACCCCCACCAACACGATCGTTAGCATTACCCAGTGGGCCCAGGTACGAGCGTCACCCTGGGGAGAGAAAATTACGCTCACTCGAGCCTTTCCCCAAGGCCGGCTTTTCATCCCGAGTCGTTTGTTGACAGTCCCGGGGCCCGGCGAGGGCCCAAAGAGGCCGAAAGCGAAGAAAGACCGCCGTCCTGATTTTTTCAATAAGTTGGAGATGTGGGTAGCTGGTGACCTTCGAAAGGAGGTGGCGCTGCCACTGAGGTTGTGGATGCCGCCGTCGACGGCAAGACGGAGACCACCGCAGGTACACTCCAACTGGCAGGCCCTCTCTCGCCGCCCGGAGGACGGGGTGGGGAGCGCTCGAGCAACCTCACGGAGGAGCAGGCTCGGCAGGAAGGCTTTTTGTTGCTGCCTGTTGAACTCGACTGTTTCCGTTGCCAGATATCGGCCACGTTCGCAGGACAACCCTGCGCGGGGAATGCTTTGTCGACGGCGCGTTTGGCGAGGCTAGTTGCGTGAATCTTCGCTGTCCGCTCCCATCTCCCCCATGCTGACATGTTGCTGACTTTCCTTCTCTTTTTTTTGACACAAGAAGGACCGGCAGGAAGGGTGACCCGCGTGCGCAGCAGCAGGGCGGGATCGGGGACGCCCCCAGATTTACGAAACAGCCGAGGCGGACCTCCAGCCCGACACAGGACAGTCAAAGTTTCGATGGTAATCTTAAGGGTGCAAGATGAGGTTACACAGGGCCCTGGAAGGCCACGGCGCGGGTACTTTCAGGGGCTCGCCAGCGAACGTGGCCGAGGAGGGGCCGAAGGGCAAGGGATGCGAGGGTGACCTAGGAAAGCCGCCCATCCTTACTGAACTTTGACTGCGGAGAAGATGGGCGGAGGAGGACGAGGGGGGAGGGGGAGGAAGACAAGAAGGGAGATGGGATTGAGAAAGGGCCGCGTCGAGCAACTCAATCTTCTTCGGCTCCCACCCCGACGTCTCCGTCATGTTCGACCTGGGAGGCTCCCTGGGGGCAAGCGGATCTTCTCACGTCGCCCTCGACCACGGGAACCTTCGCGCAGGGCCTCTGGGCAACGGCCTTGAGGCTAGCGGCGTCAGCAAGCTGCAAGCGGGTGGCCGAGGTGTTTCATGCAGACATCGGTGTTGGTGTGCCAGAGATCGGTGTCCCCCTGCATGATGTGGTCGCTGGCCCGTATGTCCTTCAATACCTTTTTTTTCGATACAACTGATGGTGCTAATTGCTGTTCCGCTTGCTTTCGCTACCGGAAGCTCTGTGATGTAGACTTGGCCCTCACAAGACGTGCTCAATTTCCAGCCCATGGCCCTGGGCGACGTGACATTCGGCTCGACCGAGAGCTCCGTGTAGCGATGGGTGCTGCATGCCGACGACTCGTATTCTGTCTCAGCACCCACCAGCCCCAGGACACACAGGCGCATGACGCCTGTCCGCTTGAACTTAGGAAATTGCTGCTCCAGGTGCTGCGCGAACTCGTGCGCGCTGTGACGTTGACAACGAAAATGTGTTTCTTGGGCGCCACCGCGTCATACAGGTTGTCCTGGTTGAAGATGCGAACGGCCCTCAGAAGCTTGATCGCATTCATCATCACAAGGAACTCGTCGTCATCGGCGCCCATGCACAGGCCCATAAGCCAGCCCACGCGGGCTGGAATATCAACCGTCTGTCCCTGGGCGTACTTGACCTCAACCTACCGCTGCACGCGCAAAGTGAGTGCCGTGCCTCGTGAACAGGAAATCCCGATTTTACCATTGCCACTCTGCCAGTCGACGGTGTTCGCCTTCAGAACCAGATCACCAATGGTCAGGCTCTGCGTCGGGTCCACCATGTTCCAGGATGATATTAATGGGGTCCAAACTTGATATCTGCAGGGTTGAGCCGAGATCTGTCGACTCACCGAAACCGTAGCCAGGGTGGCGTCGAACGTCTTCTGGAAAGACTTGCTCTCGAGGACTTCAACCACCGACGCGGGAGTCCCGATGCGCAGAGAGACGGCCACTGTTGACTTGGCTTCTGCATTAGGGCAGCATCGTCCAAATGCGGGTCCTGTATATCTTGGTATTGTGGATCCCGTCGCCGGGGTAGATCATAGCATCTGTGCATTCCTGGTTCTACAGCGCCACCATGCCTGTGCAACTGGCACTGTGGATGATAGGCGGAAGCCTGTCGCTGGCCGTCGAGCTCAACCACCCACCCTCAGGCCTTGGACAGAAGGGTGGGTGTCGAGGGCGAAGTCCGTCGGGTATGTTTTCCGGTGCATGTCGTCCCGCTGCGCCTGGGTTCGGTTCTCCTTATGTTTACTGGGGCGCTGAATGAACAGTTTGAATCCATCATTAGTGCCTGCCTTGCTCTTCTTGGACGCCTTCAATGTGTCCTGAACGCGGTCCGCAAGCGTTTTCGAGTGTGGTGCCACAAGATGTTGTCAACCTTCATGGTCGGGTCGCCCAAGAGAACGGCACTGTCTGGGTCTGGGTTCTGATCCTTGCACATCTTGACAATCCCGCTCTAGCGAACGTTCGAGACCAAGATCGGTCCTCAGTCGGTGTCGGTGTCCAGCTCCATCCCGATGTCACGGTCCTTGCCACGGGCCGAAGCCATGTCCATCTCCTCGGTGTAATCCTTTGATGGGCCTGCTTTCCATCACCACCACCACCATAAGTAGGAGGGGGAGGGAGTCCTCCTCCTCCTCCTCCTCCTCCTCCTCCTCCTCCTCCTCCTCCTCCTCCTCCTCTTCCACCACCACCACCTCTTTACCCCCTCCAACTCATGGTGGTGGTGGTGGAAAACAGGCCCATCATCCTCTGTCCACGGGCATGCTTCCGTTCATCTGGGGCGACGCCTGCCTCTGCCGAGCTGGCTGCGGAGACACGGGCACCCGGCTCTGATGCGCCTGGTGGCCCACGGGGGAGCTGCGCGCCCCGGACAGGAGACTCCAGAATCGAATGGATAGGTCGGCTCGACGATAGAATTGAATCGGGTCGGCGGAAATCGGCAGCCGAGTCGGGACAAGTCGAATCGGCGGAAATCGGCAAGCACCTCCATTGAAAAATCAGAGTCCAAATCGCAATCCGAACTCGCATCGAACCGGAATCGGACGCCATCGAAATCGCATCGAACCAGACCGGAGGAATCGAGATGAGCCCTGCTGGTGCGCCTGCGTGGCGAGTCGAGCTGCGCGCTCTGGATCCCCAGCCCTGCCAGCCTCACCCCCGCGGCCCCCTGGAGAGCTGGGAGCCCGGCGCGCCGACGGGCCACGAGGAACAGAGAACGAAAGAGAGAGAGAGAGAGAGAGAGAGAACAAACAGGAGGAGGAGGAGGAGGAGGAGGAGGAGGAGGTGGAGGAGGAGGAGGAGGAGGAGGGGGAGAGGAGGAGGGGGAGGAGGAGGAGAGGAGGAGGAGGAGAGGAGGAGGAGGAGGAGGAGGAGGATGAGGATCGGTTAGGTCCTCCTCGAAGGCGCAAGTCAAGCCCACATCTGCCGGGCGGGGGCCACTCCCAAGGGAAGCGACAACCGAGAAAGGGGCCAAAGATCTTGGGCCGCATGGGGGCCCAAACATTCGATGCAAGAAGCTGAACCAACATGGGGCCGCAAGACAATTCGAGTCGAGAAGGAGGAGCAGGAGTAGCGAACCGTCGAGAAGGAGGAGCAGGAGTAGCGAACCGCGTGGAGCTGCATTGTTTCCGAGCATTGCGCAGGAGTAGATGGGGGCGGGACGAGGCGGGGGGAGGAGGGGAGCTAGGCGGACAAGGGCGGAGGAGGGGCTAGGAGCGAGAAGCGAAAGGATGAGCCGGACTCGCGGTGCTCTGGCGTCGTCCCGGTGCTGCCGCGGCTGCTGCTGCCGAGCTGCCCTGCGAATAACTCCGAGATTGTCTTCCGCGGAAAGTGAGGGAGAAGGATGATGCTGATGATGCTGTTGATGCTGATGCTGATGCTGATGCTGCTGCTGATGATGTTGACGATGATGATGATGATGATGATGATGATGATGATGATGATGATGATGATGATGATGATGATGATGATGATGATGATGATGATGAGGAGGAGGAGGAGGAGGAGGAGGAGGAGGAGGAGGAGGAGGAGGAGGAGGATAATGAGGAGGAGAAGGAGGAGCGAGGGATGAGGAGGAGCAAGGGAGGAGGAGGAAGAGGAGTAGGAGGAACGAGGGACGAGAAGGAGGGTTGGGAAGAGACGGAGAATAAGGATGGAGCAGAAGAATGCTGATCCTGACATCCGACCGTCTGATGTTTTCTTCGCGACCCTTGAGGTCCGACCCCTTCTCCAGGGCCAGTTTTTCGCCCAAGAAACAATTCGAATTGTCGTGGGGCCGGATAGCCGGCTCAAGAGGCCCAAATCGAAGAAACAAACATGTTGACAAAATCAGATCGTCGGCGATCTGGACATGGAGGAGGAGGACGATGAGGATAATGGGGAGGATCGACGAGGAGGACGGACGACGAGGCGCCTCCGGCAGGTCGGGCCGCTTCTCGCCGCACCTGGCTGGCGTGGGCAAGCGGGGCGTTGGATGACACCCCCCTCCCGCTGGTTCCTCCTCCTCCTCCTCCTCCTCACTCCTCCTCCTCGCTCCTGCGGAGGAGCTGGAGGAGGAGGGCGCCTCCTCGAGCGATCCACGGAAACGTCCTGGCAGATACTTTCGGCCGCCCCAGACAAGCGTCCTGGCAAGCATCTTCGGGCGCCCCAGGGAGGCGTCTTGGCCGGTACCGTCGCGCCCTCCGAGAAAGTGCCCTGGCAGCTACCATCGGGCGCTCCAGCGAAGCGTCCTGGAAAGTACCGTCGGTCGTTCCACGAACGCGCCCTGGCAGACACCTTCGGGCTGGGATGTGAGAGTACGTAGCGGATGGAGGTGCTGCTACCATCACCGTCGATACCATCGCCTCCGAGGCCCGCAGGCGCGCCGCTGCGAATATACCCACTTGCCTGGACGCAGTGTGGCAAGACAGGACCAGAGCACGATGCGACGCCACTCTCCGCAGCACGGTGAACAGAACAGAAGTCGACACGCAATCGGTTCTTTTACCGCATGACGCCGCGGAACAGATGCTGCTCTTCTCGGGCCTGGCTCGGCGGCCCTGGGGCATTGTAGCTGCGGCGAAGGCGGATGCGCGGGCGAGGCATATCGAGCGGGACCTGCCACGTGCGTTCGAGGTCGGCTGGACGCCCCGGGCGGCCTGGGCGTGGCATGCCTGGCGTGGGCTCAACAGACTTGCGGACCACTCCCTGCGCCGAGCTAAGCGGCCGCTGGACTCGGTGGAAGTGGCGGCCGCGCAGCAGAGTCGCCTCGCGCAGGGCTCTGCCGCGGGCGTCGCGACGCCACTATAGTGGCCTTCGCTTTCTTCGGCATCTGGCGCTTCGCAGAGACTCGCGCGTTACAGTTGGCGGACGTGACCGACCAGGGCGCGGCCATCGAGTGCAGGATCCGGCGGCGTCAGGACGACCCCTTTGACGAAGGCGTGCGAATCCAGAAATGCCGTCGTTGCGGGTTCTGTGCCCTCTGGTCCTGCTCAAGGCTTGGCTGAAGCAGAGGGCAGAATTGCACGGGCGGGTCAGCGGCATGCTCCTCTGCGTCGCTGGATCAGACGCTGTGAAACCTGTGTCTGCCGACACCTTCCAGCGCATGCTGTCTCGTTTTTTGGGAGAAGCGCAGTGGTGCAAGAACGTTGCCTCCTTGCCGGGAGACTTTGCACAAAGCGAAGGTGGGTGGTCGCCTTTGGCCGTGATGCGGGATGTTTACACAAAAAGTTTTCGGCCACCGCTCGCAGGCAACGTTTGCTTGGCGCCGCCCAGGCTGCATGTTCAGCTGGGCGTCTTGCCGCAGGCAGCTCGTCCAATCTTGGCGAGCGCCTCGTGTTGCAACGGCGCTCGAAATACTGACTTGGCACGGGACTGCGAAAGCGCGCGTGCTTCCACAGTGTCTGCGCAGCCCAGCGTGCTCGCCGGATTCGCGCTCCGCGCCTGCCTCTGGGTGTGTGAGCGTCGTTTGGGCAAGTGACCGCCCCTCGTCGGGTGCGCCGCTGTGGCCTGCGGCAGATGCAGCAACCCCCACGAGCCACTACCAGTCGCAAGCGGATCTTTCTAGCGCGCGCAGCGCGTCGCATCAGCCGGGCTGCGGGCGGCCTGTGGTTCGTGGGGGCAACTCGTCGCCCCGCGGGCTTGCTGATCGTATTGGTTCCCGGGTCTCCCAGGCGGCCCAGGGGCTTCTTCGGGGCCTGATGGTCGCGGTGTGTAGCGGAAGCGCCGATGGCTCGGCGATAAGCCCCCGATAGCGAATCCGCATGTTCCTGGGCGGTATGGATCGTCGGGCCCCTGTCGGCGATCATTGGGCGATTGGGGGTCGATGCATCCCCTCCCCGAGCCCATCCCCCCCGAACGTTGCCCCTGCCCCCTCGCGGGAAAGCACTGTACCGACAGCTCCCAGGTGCCGCCTGCGAGGCCGCACCAGGCGAACCGTTGCCGTCGTCGCGCCCCTGCGGATGGCACCACGGGTCGCGGGCTTCACTGTCTGGGGCGCAGAAAGACCTACTAGTACTATGCGCCCCTTGGAGGCGTGGTTCTGACCCGAACATATAGGACAACCATCTTGTAGTAGATCGTTTCCCGAGCGGTACGGCCAGCAAGCGCCCGCCATCGAGCATCTGCCAGAAGACCTCTCAGCGCGCGCGTCGCCCCTGAGGTGAAGACGCACAAGTCGTATCAGGATGTTTGGGGTGATGCCGACTTTCGGCAGCCCTCGCAGTGGGGGACCAACGGCAGGCTCAGAGTCTGATGGGCCCCTCGAGCCGCGGGCGCGGTCCTCTCTGGGGAGGATGGCCCTGCCTTCGCACGAGCGGCCGCTCTCCAGACCTCCAAGAAGGTGTCCGCGGACCTCTTCACCGAGGCGAGCCGAAGGGGGTGGGTCTGGCTCATGGGGGGGAACGATGACCTGAAATCGCTGATAGTTCGTCGCCGATGGATCGGCGACAGGCCCCAGTCAGACGGGGACACCCAACGCTCCTTGGCAGTTTGAGAGGCACCCAGGCCCCGATCGGCTTCACCGGAGCCAGCTCCCCTCTCTCGGCGCCACTGATCGACCCACTCCCACGGACCAGATGTTTCTGCTTGAGTCGTGGCTTGAGCGCCCCGGATCCAGCAACACCCCTGGAGGCAGAGAGGGGCGCAAAAAACAAGCCCAAACATTGCTTTCCCAGTGCGGTGGGGTCGAGATCTCATCGGGTGCGAGCCCCGAGGGAAGTAAGAAGGAGAAGGCCTTCTCTGAAGGCTCGGAAGTCCCCCGGCCTTCCACGCCTCCCCCGAAGACAAATTCGCCGGCCCAACGGGCCAGGGCGTGCTAAGATCTCCGGTAACTGGTTAACAGTATTAACAGTATTTCTAGTTCGCGCGCGCGGGGCGGCCCCTGGGGGTCCCCCGGCGAAAAGTACCCCGACCACCGACCGCGCCGCCCGACCGCCGCCCGACCGCCGCCCGACCAAGTCTACTCAGAGATGGTTTTCCTTCTGGGTGCGGCCTCTCAGGCTCCCCAGAGCGCGCTCAGAGTGCCCCAAGAGGCCCCCAAGACTGCCCAAGAGGCCCCCGAGACGCCCAAAGAGCGCTCGAAGACGCCGAAGATGACCCCAAGACGGCCCAAAAGGCCCCCAAGACAGCCCAAGAGGCCTCCAAGACGCCCCAAGAGCCTTCCAAGAGGCCTCCGAAGAGAGCCCCAAGAGGCCAAAATCGTTGATTTTCATTGGTTTTTTCTATGTTTTTTGTGTTCTGGCTTTTTCGGCTTCCGGACGCTCCAAGACGGCCCAAGAGGCCCCCAAGACCGCTCCAAGACGGCCCACGAGGCTCCCAAGACGGCCCCGGAACGGCCCAGGAGGGCCCCCAAGACGGCCCAAGTGCCGCCCAAGACGGACCAAGAGGCCCCAAGACGGGCCCAAGAGGGGCTCAAGAGGGGAACCGAGAACTGAAAAATCGAGCCCTCCGCCCCAGAAGGCGTCCAGGAGGCCCCAAAAAGGCCCCAAGAGGCCCCCAAGAGGCCCCCAAGACGCCCCAAGAGGCGCCCAAGAGGCCCAAAAGAGGCCCCAAGAGGCCCCAAAACGGCCCCCAAGAGGCCCCCAAACTCGGCTAACCCACAACGGTGCGACAATATGGGCCGGCGGAATGAGCGAAGCGATTAAATAAACACTTCTCGGAAGGAGCGAGGGCTTCTGAGAAGTCCCGCCGCCTGCTGAGAAGGCCTCCTCCTTCTCATTTACCCCCCTCGGTCGCCGCCAAAAGGGAGGGGGAAGACCTTGGAGTCGTCGGCTGGAGGTCTGAGGTGGCCGAGCGCTGCATGGTTCCAGCGAGCTCCGGAAGAGTCATTGCACAGGCCTTGCAGACGTGCTGATCTGTGTGGGTTCTTGCCAGAAGCGGCGAGCGAAAAACGAAGTGAATTTCGCGTGATTGTTTTTAGTCTTCATTCCCGGTCCAAAGAAAAGTCCGCAAGAAATATACCTCGAAATCCGGAACGAAATTCTCCAGGACACCCCGGGCCATCCTATCGTTTTCCAAACGATACCCGCTCTGCGATGTTGGCGCCATGAGAAGGGGGGGGGGAGGGCGAGGCTCGCCGTTCTCGGCTCGAGCAGTTTCTGTTGCCCCTCTCGGCCTCTGGGGCCCGCTTCTGGGCCCTAACAAAAACGGATCCAGGGGGGGGGGGGGACAAACACTCACCCGATGGGCGACTTCGGCAACCCTGAACCCACCAGCGTCTTCATTTCTTGCGGGGTGCATCCTTCACTTCCGCGAGGCTTCCGCCGGCCTTCCGCCTGCCTCCGCCGGCGGGGCCGCCCCCGTTTTTCACTTCCGCCGACCTTCCGCCAGCCTTCCGCCGCGGAAGCGATGCCGACTCCCTCGATCCTCGAAGGCAGGGCCCTTGTTGGAATGCCCCAGGTGGACACTGGGAGGGGTCCAGGGTTATGATGCTCCCATCGCACTTAAGGACCACATCCCATGAATAATTTCGAGCACCTGGAAAAGTGTCGAAACAGTGTCGAACGAGTGTCGGACGAGTGCCTCCCAGGGTCCGACACGTGAAAACCCTCGAGTTACGTTTTTGGTGCTCGAAATTCTTCCTGGTGGTCAAGGCTAGAGCGGGTTGGAACATCATAAGTCCAGGGACTGATTTCAATCTGCCATTCATTGCAAAACTGCCGTGCAGGCAAGGCGGCTTCGACACCGCCCCCGCGGCGCCGGCGGCAGAACTTCGAGCCGGGGACGAAGGCCGTGCCGCAGGCGCAGCCGAGGCGGCTCACCTCGGCCTGTCGGATGCTGCGGCAGCGGCGGAGATATATGGTAGGATTATACGTTGGAGAGGGAGGGGTTGATAGCAGCAGAACTACAGTGCGGACGCGGCCGCAAGAAATCCTCGCAAGAAACCCAGCCCTGAAGACCCGCGCGAGGGGTGCGACTGGGGGGAAGCCCAGGGCACCCTGAACGCAGCAGCTTCTTCAACGGCCGCGGGAAGTCACCGCGCAGCGCGAGGAGCGAGGAAACCCGGGGTACCCTGATGAAAAGCACATGGCTTCTTGATGCGCGCCCCCACTGCACACCCCTGCGTAGGGTTAAGACAATTTCAAGCATAGAATTGTACTTCATTCCCAACGGTTTCTTACACAGTAGCCCGGGTCCAGATGCACGAAGGTTCTACGAACAAGTGAAGCCCCGAGAACACGCGCAGGGTCCGGTCCAAACTCTTGATCTTCTGAGAAGCGAAGTCTGGAGCCCACGAACGTTGACGGCTTTACTTGAGTGTCTGATAGGTGTACCCCCTCTGACCACGCACTCCGAGTACGCTGTCCGAGCAGCTCGTGGAGTGGGCTGCCTTCGTAGACCAGGTCATCAGGGACAACAGGTACGATTAGGTCCTGCATGTCCCCCTACAGGCGGATTTGGGGCAACTCATCGAACATGTGCAACCAATATTCGGAAATAGTCAAAATAAACGAAAAACATCGCCCCATAACTATGTTTCAACTACTTCGAAGATTCCTCCTGTGGAGGGACGTGCCCGACTTAGCACAACAGGCACGACGACGACGGGCGCCCGCCCAGGGTGGCCTGGCCTTGCGGCCGAGCGTGGCAGGCGGCCTTCCTGGCCGCACAGCAGCCAGTGCAACCTCGAAGGCCCGTGCTGCGACGTCGACGTAGAGGCCAGAACATCCACCCCGAACCACCCCGACGCGCGAGGCCTTTAGCAAACGCGCCCAATGGCTTCCCTACGCCGGCAACAGGAGGCAGCGCTGTCCGATAGCAACGCCGGCATGCGCGGCAGCCGCTCGCCGATTGTACGCAGGATGCTCCAGTCGGCCTCGATGCCATACCGAGCCGGCCGCTCGCCGACCACCAAGTGTGCGCCGGAGGCCGCCGTACAAGATTCGGCGGCGAGCGAGGGCGGGAGGTGAGCAGGAGAAAAACGTCTCAGAAGGTGCGGAGGTCCCCCGGCCTTCTGAGGAGTGTTCTACGCCTCCCCCGAAGGCAAACAAACACTTCTCGGAAGGCGCGAGGGCTTCTGAGAAGTCCCGCCGCCTTCTGATCGAGGACGGCGAGAAGGTCTGGTTCAAGAAGGGTGAATACGACGGCTGCTGGGGCGCCTCAGGTCGTGCTGGAGTGCCTAAGGTCGAGCTGGGGGGACCTCGAGTCCAGCGAAACCAGCCTTGTCCAACGCACCCTCCTGGCAGCCACCGCTGGCAGGAGCAGCGAGCACGCCAGGCTCGCCGCCCCGAGGGGCCCCCAGCTGCCCTCGAGGGGCGGGCGCAGCCGCAGGGCGCCCTCCCAGAGATCCGACGCTCCGGGGAGAAACTGGAGCGGCCGGTTTTTGGCCGGCTTCGGCCTCGGGTGGCCCTCGCCAGGCCTCGGGACCGTCCACAGACGACTCAAGACGCAACACCGGGCCCACAGCCAGTGGAGTTGTCTGCTGCTGACACTTTTGACGAGGTGCGTCCGTCTAGTGACTGTGATTCGTCTGGGCCGTGGCTCGCTCCCGCTGCCTAATACCGCGAAAGCCGTTAGATCCGCCCGACCGACCGACGGAGCCACCGACCGACCGAACGACTGGACAACAACCGACGGCGACGACGGACGAATGACAACGACGGCCACGACGACCACACGAACCGACCGGACGAATGACGAGTGACCCAGCGCCCGAGCGACCGACGACGACTAGAACCACGAACGACACGACAGACCGACCGACCGACCGAGCGATCGAGGACGACGATGACCGACCGACCGACTGGCCGACCGAGCGATCGACGACGACGACGACGACGACGACGACGTTGACCGACGGCGACGATCGACAGACAACGACGACGGCAACGACCACTGACCGACCGACCGACGAACGACGAGGATAACGACCGACGGTGCCGAACCACGGACGACGACGACAGACGGACCGATCAACAGCGACGAATGAGCACGACGAAGACAACGACGGACGGACCGACCGACCGACCGACGACGACCGACGACAACGACGGACGTTGTCGCAAAATTTTAGAAAACTAGATCTAGAAGGTCGACCGCGACCGGCTGTGGTGAAATTCTAGAACGCGCGGGCTGGGTAAACTTGTAAAGGGGGCGCTTCCAAGACGCGGCCCTCCCGTCCCCCGCTCACCCCCCGGAGACGAGGGTTCCGCTTTTAGTGAAATATAAGGGAGGGGTGGTTGCAGGCGTATGTGCCATCTCGGGCTCCGAATCCTGCAAAAACCTGTGGCTTCTAATAGTTTTGAGACCACCCGCTAGGACCGAATGAACCGAATGAACCCCCGAATGTACCAGAATGTACCCCCGACTGAACCCTCCCCAGCGCCCCTGACGGACCCCGACTCAAACCCCCAGACGTCGTCGTCGCTGTTAGTCGGCCGTGGCCGTGGCTCGTCGTTGATGTGACATGCTCCTCCCACTTCCAACACTAGTCCTCTGAAACTGCAGGGAAGTGGTCCGGACCTCTGGGGCACCCGCATCCAGCACCACAAAGAGAGCAGCCAGATGCGTGTTTGGATGCCCGAAATGGTGCGGTGACGGACCGTGCGGTGAACTCGAAATCCCCCAAGACCTCACCGTACGGTCCGTCACCGCACGGTTTTGGGACCCTGGAGGCCCCTGTCGCCCGAGACGTCCTCAGTGAGAGGGACTCGAATCCCAAAACCGTGCGGTGACCCCGAATCCCCACCGACTCACCACACAGTGTGGTCACCACCCCGCTTTGTGGCCCCCGAGCCTGGGAAGGCACCCTCGCAGGAAGCCCGGTCCTGAGAACCCGCGCGCGAAGGAGCCCGAGAACGCCCCGAGCGCAGCAGCCCCCTGGGCGGCCGCGGGAGGTCGCCGCGCCGCGCGCACGGCGGAGAGAGGCCCAAAGGCACCCCGGCGTAGAGCGACCGGTGTCTTGGCGCGCGTCCCCGCCGTTGCGGACGGTGCCTCCCTGGGCACGGCGGCCACACGCACACACGTACCCCGAGATCCAACGTATCGAAAGAATCAAGACGGAAGTTTTTCTCAAATTTCGGCCCCTAGGGGCCCTCGCTGGGCCTCGGGACCGTCAAAAAAGGACGGAAGATGAAGAACCAGTCCTGGGGAATGGATCGAGCCTTCTGGGGACCCCGTATTGAAAAAAAACACGACATCGGATCTCTGGGTACGCGCGCACACACACACACACACACACACACGCACACACACACACACGCACACACACACACACGCACATACACACACACACGCAAACTAACACACACACACACACACACGCTGCCGTGTTGGCGAGTTCTCTCCTGTGGCTGGTGCATTCCAGCTCCGCTATCCTCACAGCATGGTGGCCTCTTCAGCATGTTGGCTCATCCGGATCTCACATAATGGTGGCATCTACACCCGTTGATGAAGACGAGCTCCGGTGCACCAGGCGTCGCTCACCGGGAGCGCTTGGGGGAGATCAACATCGGGATGATGCCGCCGATGCGCGGCATCCCAAACCTGAGAGAAGCAGCGAAACGCGCAGCACGGCTCTCGAGAATGTGGCGACGTGGCTGTGGATTCCGACGCAGTGACGGCGCACTCTGGCAACGAGCCTTGCGAAAACGTTGGAACGCCATTTTCCCGTGACCAGGAGAAACCGCCGCCAATGCGGTGCGATGTGATGGTTAGCGGCCACTCCACGGTGACCTTCGTCGGAATATTTCACCATGATGACCGCGTCAATTCAGCGTACTCGCAGCCAGGCCAATCAAAGTGGCTCCCAACAGGGCTGCCCAGAGTTCGGAAACTGTGACCTCTTGGAGGACGGATGGGATGGGCCAGAAAGCATTCCTATACGGGGGGAGGCCATTAGACATCCCCACCATCCTCCAAGCTACTCTGGCCAGCCACTCTCGCTCTGAGAGAAAGCCTCTTGATCTGGCGTCTCCTCTTCTCCTTCTCCTTCTGCTCCTCCTCCTCCCCCCAATCCCCCCCGACCCTCCATTGTCCCTCTCCCTTTTCTGCCTCTGGACACCGACAGCGTTTACGACAAAACGACCAAGACCAAGACGACAGCAACGATATTGTTGACGGCAACCGGTAACGGAAACCAAGACGCCGACGACGACAACGACAGATGCGACAACGACGACGACGACGACGGCGGCGGCGGCGACCACGAAGGTTACGATGACGGCGACGGAGACCACGACGACGACGACCACGACGAAGGCAGCGAGGGAGGCGACGACGACCATGGCGGCGGCGACCACGACCACGATAACGATGAACAAAAAAGGGCCCCTAATCGTTTGGGCGGGGACTTCAGATAGGAGGGCCAATAACCAAAAATATCAGGGATACGGTGTCATTCTGCAGAGGTATCAAACAAAGACGCCCGGATGTCTGATCTCTACTGTATGGACGGGGGCCAAAGTGAGGCCGCGTCTTCACTGTGATATTAAGGTGAAGGGGCTCTTTTGTTCTTGATGAGACAACCCGCTTCACCCCCGCACGCCTCCACCAGCGCGAGCTCCACCTCCAGCCGCCGGTGCGCGAGCTCCAGCATTCCGATGCTGGGGCAGCGGGCCCCGGGCGGGCCTGTAGGGGCATAGGGCCCCCTCTTTGCCTGGTTCTCCCCGTCGCGGCGCAAGAACGGAGGAAGGATGAGGCCCTAAACGTGCTCGCGTCTTGGCCAACAAAAACAGGACGGGAGGTTTTTAGTTTTTGTTCGGCCTCCCGGGGGCCCTTGCGGGGCCCCAGCGCCGTCAAACAACGACGCAAGAGAAAAACCCGGCCCCAGGGACAAGGTCGGGACTTCCGAAGACCCCGTGCTGAACAACATCGGGACGCCGTAGGTCTGGGACCACTCCGCAGGGCGTGGGGGGAGACAGATAGAAGGCGGTCGAGCCTGCCTCCAAGAGGCCCCGAGAGCGAAGGGGACAACGACGGGCTTCCGTCGCCGCCTGGGGGCCATAAGCGCACCGCAGTGCTGCTCACAGGCGCGCTGCGGGGTCCGCCGCCGCCGAGCAGGGGCACCTTAGCGCCACCAGCCAGACCTCCCCATCCAGGAGGGGACGGCGTCGAACTGTACCTCCTCCTCCTTCTCCTCCTCCTCCTCTTCTTCCTGGTCGATGCAGAAGTCAAAACACAACGCTACCTCTGAACATCGCCGATACCATCAAGAAAAGGTACGGCACTAGGACGAAAAAGGAACCCACCTTCAGCACGCCCCGGTCCGCCGCCGCGGACACCGCATCCGCGAGCTCAGCCCGCCGCCGCCTCGCGGAGGGCAACGACGCAGACCGCCTAGTCTCCTCCGAGGCACGTTCGCAGCTGTTGGGCCGTCGCCCCGTGCAGGCGACCGAGAGCTCGGCCCCCCAGCGCTGGGCGCTGGCAGCCGCCGCGCTGCCCTCCTACTCCCCCAGGCCCTGGGCGAGGTCACGCGTCAACAATCGCAGGTGGCGCAGAACGGCCCTGCCGTGCCGGCCCCCTGTCTCGAGTGCCAGGGGAGGACGGGCCACGGCGCGCGTCCGGCCGGATGCCGGGGCCGCTTGTCGCCTTCCGCCTCCGCGTTGACAGCGCCGTCCCTCTGGGCCGCTGCCACGAGGTGCCCGGCGTCGCCCGGCACGGCGTACCGGACGGTGACATCTGCGAACTGGCGCGGGCATCCTGGCGCCTGCGCCTCAAGGTCCAGAACTGCTTCCCCCCGCTCAATGTGCAGGGGCGCCCAGCACTCGCTGCATGGCCCTGCGGGCGGGTCGAGCGTCGTGCCCCGCGAGCTGCAATGCGCGCGGCGCCATTTCCAGCGGCACCATGCGGGGACGGGAACTTGGCGCGCGGTGTGGTAGCCGCACTTCCTCTGGATCCCCTTCCTCCTCCTCCTCCTCCTCTTCCTCCTCCTCCTCCTCTTCATCCTCCTCCTCCTTTTCCCCCTCCCCCTCAGTCGGGGGGCCTTTCCTCCCGACGGTGGCGCCGCAGCCGCACCAGCTTTCTCGATATCCGCGCCCTCGGGCGCAGGCCCGCGCCGCCGCGCGCAGGCCTCAGTCGCTCAGCCTTGAGCCAGAGCAGCCGCAGCGGATCGCCATGCTCGCCCGTGCTGTTTTTGCTCCCCACGTCCCACCCCCAGTTCTCGACTCTGCTGGTGAACGTGTTCAGGTCGTTGATCTCCAGCAAGCACAGGAGTGTGCCCTCCAGAGAATACGACTCCACAGGATCGATACGCATATGGAGAGGCCCTCTACGTCGTCGAAGGTGCTCGACTCGAAATCTGACTCCATCCTTGGAGCACTCGGCCCGTCGACTTCCAAGCCATGACCGGGCGTTGAACCTTCCACCATCCTCGCGCGACGCACCTCAGTGCCTCTCGTAATACGCTGCCTTTGGTAAGACCATATGCGCAACAGTCCCTCGTATCAGTCCACCATAGCACTCGTAGGATGGCTCTGTCCAGCAGCTCTCGTATCCATTGCGCGTGGTACAGCGCATGCCTCTCGGCCTGCATCTTGACTTGCCCAGCCGTAATGCCAGAGAACACACTCTGCGCATCCACACAAGCCTCCAGCGGTGGCACTGCTAACATGCAGCTCTCAGCGCCCCCCACCATGCCTCGCGACTGTCGTACACTCATCTCACCCATCTGAATCTCGACCAGGACACCCGCCAACAGTAGAAGATAATCACATCCATCCGATAAATGGCGCAGCCCCGCTCCCCAGATACTTCGCACCACGTGCGCCTGTTTCCCCGAACAATACTCCAGCATGTTGAGTTTGCCTCCTGGTCCTTCTCCATCCTCCACCAGAAGGTACACTGCGCCACTCATGACCAGCCCTTTGTCAGCTGGTTCTCTCCTGAAAGCTGCGTCGCCAACTGTAACTAACTTCGCCGGCAGCTTCAGCTGATGCGTCACCGGGGACATAGGATTCCCCTTCATGTACTTATGTACATCAGCAACACACTAATCTCCCTGATGTGGCCCACCTTGGGAGCCCTGCCGCGCCTCTGTAGAGCTGCCACGTTTTTTCAAAGGTCCACTCTCGTCATGATTCACCACGCAATAGCTCCAAGGAGGGACGGGTACAACTTCGCATGCTTCTCCGGCGGGTCGCCCACGTCACTTTTACCTTGTAACTCTTAGTCGTCGAGGCAATTCAGGTTATGCATGTACTCCGTTCGGCCCACCTCTATGCTCGCATCGTCTAGTTGTCGGTGTCGGAGCCCGCAATGAACGAGATCCTTCCCATGCCTAGCCATCGTGCCGAAAACCGCTTCCAGCGCTCGTATCATCTCGTTCAACGCATGGTCCTCTCCGGCGTACTTTGGGCCATCCAGGTGCGCGAAGACCAACAACGCTAGAACCTGACCATGATGTCTTAGACAAAGTTTGGAATCGGCAAGAGTCGCTCGAAGACACACCGACTACAACACTTGACCGCGTCGAATACCGAAGAGGCGAGGAGCGTCATTGAGACCGAAGCCTCCTATCCTTATCCGTAGAACTTCCAAGACGCGATTGAAACCCTCGAAACCCTTGACCTGGCAAAGCGATTCAGCCGATCCTTTGGGCAGCTCGAAGCATATCTCTCGCTTGGGCTTGTCCAAGAGCTTCGAAACCTTCTCGAACGTCGCACCCTGAAGAAGAAATTCAGAGGATATGTCCGCGCAGCATAGCTCCCGCTGATGTTGAGCCGCCAGAATATACACCACTCGCTGTCCCCAGTGGGCACCCGTCGCGGTGATGGCGTTGACCTCTCCCTTATGGCGGTCCTTGAATCCACGCGCTGTCAGCCTGCGGCGAATGATCCTCGTCGCGGCGCCATCAGATGCTTGCGCCCACTTTAATTTGTCAACCCACTTCGAGTCGATGAAGTTCTTGACATTCCGCCGCAAAATCCAAGACGTGGCCTTTGAAGTCCCGGGGCGTTCGTCACGTGCCTCGTGTCGCTCGCGCTCGGCGTGCACATTTTTGAAAACGCTGGCCCTCCGATTCCGACGATGCGGGCCCGCTCGGTCCCGGAGGGGGTTCCCATGCAGCGTTCGGCAGGACTGCTTTGGGTCCGCCCTGCAGCTCACTCGATCTTCAATCGCCATCTTCGGCCCTGCCACAGCTGGTGCGACAGCAACTCCAACAAGTCCTTTCGAGCCTGTCACGCTCGACTTGCAACCGGCGGCTTCCGGCGCCTCGCTGGTCACGGCGCTCTCTGCTGCGAAGAAGCTGATGGCTCCAGAGCCGTAGGCTGGCGCTGATGATGCGCTCGGAAACGTCGCGGCCGCCGTAGATGAGTTGGCCACGGCGCCAGCGTTGAATCCAAACCAGGGTGCTCCAGCGCCGACGCCGGCAACCGGACGAGGTTCGTCGGTGATGAACGATGCCTTCCCTTTCGGTTTCCCGCCTTGGCGGCGCGGGCAGTCCTTCGTCGGGCAGAACTCGTTTTCGCATCCCTTCGTCAAGCACTTCGTCACCTTCCCATCTCGACCAACTGGATTGCATCTGCCTTTTCCTTCGAAGTGGTAACCCTTGCCCCCATGTCCTCGCTGTCCGATGGCCCCTTCGGAAGGGTATAAGTGATCCTTGTCCGCTCTTACCTTTGCTGAAACGCTGGAAACGCGCGGGGTCGGCGGCACCGGCCGTGAGGCCTCTCCAATAGAATACACAAGGACGAATAACCAGATGCCGACTAGGACAAGAGGGAGGATGAGGAGAAGCAGTTTGAGTGACCGCACTTCTCTCAATTGCCAAATGCCTACGCCCAAGCGACCACGACAAAAACGGAGTAGAGCTCAAACCGCAACCCCCAACGAGGCAACGCCGAACAATCCGACCGTGCAAGGCTAAACCAGGCAAGGCTAGATCACACAAGATGTGCGACAGAGGTGACTGGCTAGGCGGGTTGAGATTCGCGAAGAGTGAGAAACATGTGTGATTCCGTGGCCACAGGTTCCCATCGATGCTCATGATCGGTGCGAACCCCATGTCCCCGCTGATGGGCTAAGAAATGTGGCGCCCCTTCCAGCACTTCGGCAAGCTGTATCAACAGCTAGACGAAGTCCCTAATGCAGCTAACTGCGTGATCGGCATGGCACACACATCGCAGGTCTTCCTTTGTCAGAACTTACCCAAGACTTCCTCATTGCCTGGAAGTGCGCCCGCCACAGGTCCCCACACAAGTATAGGGTGCTACATTGGTAGATGTGTGCATGTTCAATGGGCCAAGCGTTTAACAACACGACTCCCAATCACGATAACCATTATACGAACAACGATACGATGCTGCACGAAAGCCCCGCATATCGTTCCGACATTCATCGTAATACGCAATTCGTACAAAACTACACGCTTGACTTGACAGTTCCAGAGTGCTAGGTACTCAACATTGCTTCAAACTTGGCGCACACATCCGCACTTCTGCAGCATATGTGACTCGTTTGGCGGAATCCATGCCTGGCCGCTATCCAATCCTGCGCCCACAATGCCGCACGCGAGCGACAGACAATTGCAATTCGCAGTGTCGCTGCTCGTGGGTAACTAAGCCTCCCACCCTGACGAGAGAACACATGGGCCGAGGTATAGTGCTCATCCCCGGCAAGCTCCCCAAACTGACGACCCCTCCAGAAATCCGCCCAGCATGCGCGCGCGCGCAGAGGTCAGCATCGCATGTCGTGCGGGAGATTAGAATTAAAGTCTCCCTTTCGGCTACATGCAAGAGTGACCCAGGCGAGAGTGGCCTTTGGTACGCGGAATAAGAAGGCGCAAAGGGGTCACATCCAAGCGCGCAAGCAGCCGTTATCGCATCGCGCTCAGCGATCGGAGGGGTCCCGATGAACCCGCACCAAGAGTCGCTCCGTCGAGGGGTCACTCTTGCGCGAAGTCGACGCTTCAATGGGCGCCAATCAAGGGGGGCGGTGAATGGGGGGAAGAGAGGTGCCCTTTTCGGGCTGGCCACTAGAGGCCCCCTCCTCAGGCCGAAAGGGCACCTTCTCTGCAGCCCTCGCTGCCCCCCCATTCATGTCCCCCCCCATTACGCGTCCTCCGATTTCACTTCCGCCGCATTCCGCCGGCGCAGCTGCCGCCAGCTCCTTTCCGCCGAATTCCGCTGGCCCTCCGAAAGGCTGCCGCCTGGGGCGAAGCTGCGCCGAAGGCAGGGCGAGGCCCTCTCTGGAGCGCCCCTGGAGAACCGCTCTTGCAAGAAAGCTTGACAGGATGCGCTGCGAAGAAGCTGCGCAGATGATGTCGGCGCGCATATCGGTGATTCAGCAATGGGGTCCTAAAGGATGGGGTGCTAAGGACGAGATGCTCAAAACGATGCAAATCCTCCCTTGAACCCCTTCACATCCTCAAGACCCCGTCTCTCCGGACCCCATTCCTGAGCGACCAAACGTCTTGGGAACGAGTCGGAAAACGCTTCCAGGACACGCTGGAGGGTCAGGCAGCCTGCTGCGAGGCCGCATGTGCACAGAGGTCCGAGCTCGCGCGTGCGGCATTTGGCGCGACGCGTCTGCGCGTCGAGGCCCCTCTCGCGGCCCCGCGCGGGGCCGGCGGCGCGCAGCGCCCCACCGGGCCGGGCGGGCGGAGCGGAACGCGCGGGGGGGGGGCGGAGGCCGGGCGCTGCTACGCCGCTACCAACAAGCAGGCCGCCAGGGTTGCCGCCGCGGCCGGGGCGCGCGCGCGGGCGCGGCGCGGGGCCGCCGACTTCGGCGCGTGGCCGCCAGAGGGGGTCCTCAGAGGGCCCCCGTTGCCCAGGTAGACGTCGATGGGCGGGCCCAATTCGTACTGGCCGTTGAAGCCGACGACCACCTCCGAGAGGCGGGGCGAAAGGGGGGCCTCTCACGCGCGCGCGATACCCAAACAATCCAGCTGCTCCCATCTTTCCGATGCGTGGGCCCTGGAGGTCTGAGCCACTTTCGGCGGCGAGCGAGGGGGGGAGGTGAGGAGGCGAAGGCGCTCTCAGAAGGCGGCGGGACTTCTGAGGAAGCCTCCAGCCTTCCGAGAGGCTTCCCATGTCCTCGGGGAAGGCTGAGAAAACTTCTCAGAAGGCCGGGGGACTTCCAAACCTTCTGAGAAGGCCTTCCCCTTCTCACCCTCCCCCCCCCCTCGCTCGCCGCCGACACTTCCCTGGGGCCAATTTTTTCTGTCCCGTGTCCTTTTCGGACGGCCCCGGGGCCTGGCGTGGGCCCCCGCTGAGGCCGAAAACCAGCCACACAGAGACCTCCCAGCTGAGGATCGCTCCACGACGCGAGCACGTCTCGGGGAAGGGGGGGGGGGGAGGCCTCGCGCGACGCACGACGCGGCGGCGGCCCGGCGCGGCGGCCCGTGCACGCGTGGAGAGGCCGGGCGCCCGCTCGCGGGGCCCTGCGCGGGAGGCGGGCGCGCCGATGCCCGCGCGCTCGGCCCTGCTCGTCGGGTGCGCCCAGGAGGGGTGGCCGGGGGGCCAGGGGCGCAGGGACTCTGGCCTCCTTTTCGAGCGCCCAGGGAGCGCCCCAAAGGGAGGCCAGAGTTGCTGCATCGTCTCGAGCCAGCGCGCAGCCGTCGATGTACTCGGCACGCAGCCGCGCCTAGTGAAATGCTCGCAGTGGTTCGTTCAGATGGCATGTTCGGAGGAAAACAACATCCCAGCTTTCTCCCCAGTCCCCCTCGAATCATGAACAACAAATGCGTCTTCACGGTTTTCGGCCTCTGGGGGGCCTTACTGGGCCTCGGGGCCTCTATGTCAGCAACCATTGCAAAGAGGCTGTTTCTTTCCGGGGTCAGGCGTGCCCATATCCGAGGAAGTCATTGACATCGACGGCTCTTTTTCCAATGCTTTAGAGGTTGAGCGCCGGCAATGGCAAGCTGATTGGCATGCTGCGGACGCTTGAATGTCTACCACCTGTGTTCCGCTCCCTGAGAAGGTGCCTGTTCCACCTGGTGCGTCTTGAGAGGTTTTGAGGAACATCAGCCGCCGTTTTAAAGGCAGCACATGTGTTCCTGATGGTTTTCACCCTCGCCATTTTTGCTTTGATGCCTGACCCTGGGTTGGCCACTCTAACGTTGATGTACCATCTCATGGATACTGTGGGACAGACACCATCATCTATTGGTGGGCCTTGCTGGGCCTCGGGGCCGTCCAAATACAACTCGGGACGAAACAACGGTCCCTGGGAATGGGCCGAGACCTCTGGGGATCGACGTGGTGAAAAAAACAAATATATCCACGAGCCCCGAGCTTGAAATGCAAGCGGGGATGATCTGTGAGAGTGGCAGGGGCAGGAAAGGATCTGCCTCTTGGGGGCAGGCTCTGACGACGGGGCACGGTTCTGACGAAGACTGGAGTGTCTTGGAGGCTCGTGTGCTGGGTGGGGGACCCGTCGGGATTCCAGTCGCCTCGCGGGATGTGCGTCCGGGACGCGAAGGGTACACCCTGCGAAATGCTTAAGAAATCATGGGTTAAGAAATTCATAGTCTCAGAACTTGAATAAAAACCTAAAGTTCCCATTCAAATCTTAGGATTTACATTGAAGCATTAAGAATCATCGAGACTCTGGCCGAAAATTTAAGTTTTCTTAAGCATCGCCTAAGGTGTATGCGCGTTGCAGGGTCTCGCTGGGTCCTCTGAGGCGCACCTGGGAAGTTTCGGGGTGCACTCCTGAGTATCGTTTAACCGATCCCCATCCCCAGTGGCGTGGCCTTGGCCCCGCTGGCCGATCTACCCCCCCTACATGGGGATATGGGTCGTTTTCTTCGGGTTTCGAGGTGTGCATCCCCCACTGGGGTGGTAATTTGAAGGGGGTCTCGAAGGGGATGGAGATGGGGATGGGGATGGGTTAAACGATACCGAATTCCGGGGCCTCTTGTGGGCGTCTGGGGGTGTTCTCGGGGCCTCTTCAAAGCTCCTGGGCCGTCTCCGAGTCCTCTCCCGCCGTCCGGCACCTTCGGAGGCTGTGCTGGCGGTGGCTCCAGGTTGTCTTCGGGCCCTCGGGGGGCCTCCTACAGCGGTCATGGGGGTTTCGTCGACCGTGTTTGGGCGGATGTATAGGGCTCTTGATTCTAGCGGTTCTGTTTGGCCGTCTTGGGGCCCTTTTGACAAGCGCTTTGGGCGGTCACGGGTTCTCTCGACCGTTGAGCGCACGCGGGCAACACTGGCGAGACTCAATGGAGTACGCACGGAAGGAAGCACAAGCAAGGCGGCCCAGTGCGGTTCCCGTGTTGTCCGCTTCCCACTGTAGGCCTGTTCGGGGCTTCCTGAGGAGGTGCGGGACACAGTGGGAGGAGATAGACCGAAACAGCTCGGAAGCGAGAGGATGGATGAGGGTTGAAACACAAGATGGGAAGGGGGAGAAGGATGGTCAGACGAGAAGGGCAGCGGAGTTTTCTTCATGAAAACGACGACGGCGATGGTGACTTTGGATATGTCTTCTTGGGGGTTCTTGGAGGCTTCTTGGGCCGTTGTGGGAGTCTCTCGGGAGCGAAGTGGAGGGAGGAAGGAGGAAGGAGGGGAGACGGAGGGAGGAAGGGCGTTGGAAGAAGGCTAGCGGGAGGGACGGCGATGAAGACCTCGAGCACTGAGGCGGGTGACGAAGACGACAGGACAGCTCGCCGCTTTGGCCCCACCGCCGGCCGACACGGCGTGCGAGCGCATCATGTTGACTCCCATGTTGTCCGTTTGACGCTGTGACGCTTTGTCGTGGAGTCTACAGCCATCCTGGTGCCCCCTGGGGGCCTTTGTGGGCGGAAGGCTCGGAATGTCGGTCCGTGCTCCGCCTCTGGGGCCCTTCATCGGGCGTTCCTGGAGCATTCTGGGGCCTTCTTGGAAGCCTCTTGGGCCGTCTTGGGGGGTCTCTTGGGCAGTCTGGGCGCCCTTTCGGGGGCCTCTGCGGCCGTCTTGGGGCGATCCGTGGGGCCTCTTGGGCCGTCTTCAGGCGTCGGGAAGCCGAAAAGGCGGAGACACGAAAAACGTTGAGAAACCTTCAAGGAGCCTATTAAATTTGCTTCCCGGAACACTCTTGGAGGTCCTCTTGGAAACTTCTTAGAAAGTCTTCGGGGCCTCTCGGGCCATCTAGAGGCCATCTTCGACGGTCTGGACCGAGCAACCGGCGACTCCTGGTCCTCTTGGGGCGGCCCGTGCCGCCTGGAAACGCGTCTGCCGGAATCGTGCCAAACTTCGGCCAGCTTCCGCCGGCGTTCCGCCCGTGACCGGGGCAAGAAGATTTCGTACCCCCCGAGGGGGATCCTAAACGCGAGCCCCTCCACAAGGTCGGGGAATCATGGCGTCGAGGGTCTAGGAAGAGGGGGGCTAGGAACCCATCCTGGCCCGAAAAGCATGCGCGCGGACGGGTGTGTGCCAAGGGCAGCGCTGAGAGAGGAACAGGGCGCCATGAAAACCGGCCCCCCTTTTGGACGCCCCCTCCTCCTCCTCCTCCTCCTCCTCCTCCTCCTCCTCCTCCTCCTCCTCCTCCTCCTCCTCCTCCTCCGCCTCCTCTTCCTCTTCTTAACCCTCCTCCTCCTCCTCCCCCTCCTCCTCCTCCTCCTCCTCCTCCTCTTCCTCCTCCTCCTCCCCTAGATATCCCCCTCCTCTTCCACGCCCACGAGCTTCTCGCCGCCGTCCGCCTTGGCCCACGGGAACTGCGGGGACGGCTCCTTCTTCTCCCTGCCGCAGGCCGTGGGTGCCACTCGGTCCAGCGAACCCGCTCCGCGGCCAGGGCGCGCCCTCCCAGGCAGCCTCAGCTGAGCTCCGACGGCGCGCCTAACAATACGCAGACACGCCCAAAAGCAAAGGGCACGGGGCATCACCACCCCAAGTCGGCTCCGAATCTGGCCTGCTACAGTCACCGCTCTGCCAGGAAAGGAACGCACCAGCAGGAACGAAGGTTTTTTGTTGGCCTTGGCGGGCCTACGTTCAAAAGGTGTATCAACGCCGGGTGGTAAGGACGCACGACCCTTGAACGCCGAAGTTTGGATTTTTGGGGCGGCGGGCGACCAGCGAAAACGGCAAAGGATGTGTCGCAGGAGCAAAGGCACAAGGGCGCCCTAGATGAAGGCGCGCGTCCTTACTAGGCGCGGTGACTGTAGGCCATATTTTTTGTTCGTCAGCGGCGAGGCGGCAAACTCCGGTTCAGCGAGAAGCCAGAAAAGGGCCCTCACTAGCGAATTGGCCGGCGGGCAAAGGATCGACGATGAGCAGCTGGGGGGGTGCAGCAGCAGCCAGGCGCGCAAAGTAGGCCACAGACAGGCTCCACGACAGAAGTCCAAGGAACGGCCCGAAGGCCCGAGCCCCACCTGAGCCCGAAGCGGTCCTCACGTCAGCGCCCTGCCCGCACAAGGCACAGAAGTCGAGGGCAACACATCCACCCCCACAGTAACCACCCCGACAAGCGAGGCCGTTTAGCAAACGCACCCAAAAAAGGAATCGAACAGGGCTGGGCTGTTTAGTAACCGCCTGGGGCCGCTTAGCAAACGCCAATTATCTGGTCTGGGTGGTTTTTCTTCCCTTGAAGGAGGCCCCCCGCGAGGCCAACGTCGCCGAGTGCAGGATATCCAGGGGCCAGGAGGCCCCGAGCCCCTCAGCGCAGGAGGTGCCTGCCCAGGAGGAGACGCTCCAGCCGTGGAAGGGGCGCGTGCCCGAGCGAGCTCCCCGCCCGCACCTGGGCGACGATCAGAAACGAGTCCTGCGCGAGGTGGCGTAGCGACCCGACGTGGTGGCTTACGCCGGCTGCCGGCACGGTGCGCCACACCGGAGACGAGGGCGCTGACGCGCGACCTTACACGGGCAGCTTGCGCGCCAGCGTCGGCACGGGCGCCCCCTGTTCTTGCGCCGCTCACCTGTTGACGACGTTGTGTAGGTCGCTGACCCACCGTGCGAGCTCCGAGCGGGTCATGTTCGTTGTCGGCAGGGGCGATCGCCCTTCGTCCAGGTGGCCTCTCGGGGGCGGAGCTGGGCACACCGTGTCGACCACGGCCTGCAGACTGCTTGAAAACACGTGGGGCCAACACGGACTACCCGAGGCTTCGAGGTTGCTAACGCGCGTGGCCAGCAAGCCGTGGTCAACAGAGTGCCCTGCGTGCCTCTCAGGTGCATGCCACAGAATGGGCACGGCAAAACGAAGGACAGCGACTTGGTGTAGAAATGCACGAGGGCCGCCTTGGAGTTCGCTGGGGCGGAATCTTCCTGCGCGAGAGCCAACGTCTGCAGGAAGAACCAGCCAACAGGGCCCCAGACTTTCGGCATGCGGAATCTAATGATCTCAGGCGTCTTCATCCCGCCGGCGTGCCACACTGTCGGAAAAGCCTCCTGTGGATCTCTCCCCGAATCTGTGCTCGGGTCGAATGTTATCGCCACGGGCTCAGCCCGGTCAAACATTGCGACGTAGTGTCCTAACACACGCTCGGGGGGCAGAACCTGCTTCTCCATGTCCAGATTGACGTGATTGTGGAACATTATGACCCACATGATAAGCTTGGTCCGATTAGACCATGTGTCTTCAGCTATTGGCTGCATGCTCTTGATGATCCGGCGGGTTCGCGTCTGGCACTCGTCACAAGGCATGATGTCAGCCACCTCGTCCGTGAAGAAGAATCTCAACTTCTCTTGCTGCTCATCCGGGATCTCCTGCTCCTGTGCGAAAGCCACGTCGTGCAGGAAGAACCAGGCGACGGGTCCCCACACGTGCGGGTTGCGGAAGTGGTTTGGCTCCTATACCCCGGGCCATGCGAAGCAACAGGGGCACAGAGGAAGTTGGCTTGGCCACTGTGCTGCATCCGCGATGGGGGAACCAATGCCAAACACGAGTCTGGTCAGGAACTTCTGCTTAGCGTGTCGCGGCGGCGGCCCTGGCACGCTCATGCGAGCGGATAGCGTGTCGCTTCCAAATGGGGACGTGGATAGCGTGTCACGCCGAAGCGTGGTGGGTCAGAACCGGCGGAGCGACACGCTAAGCCAAAAGTTCCCAGCCGTAACTAGAAAGGGGGGGGAGGGGGGGCAAGGGTCAGGGTCAGAACTTGCAATCTCCCACCAGTCCTTCAGCGTGGCCTCCCGGGAGCCCCCGCCGATCAGGGAGGCGTGCCGCGCCCAGCTGACCAACGCCTCGCTATGCTCCTCGAGGCCAGCGGAGAATCCAGGAGGAGGCGATGATGCTTCAGCGGCCACGGTAGAGGGCTCCCACACTCCAACCCAAAGTGCAGGGGAAGCACCAGAAGAAGCGTGAGCGTAGCCACCCCGATACGCAGCAAGCAACCCACATTCGCCCAAACATGGCACAACACGTACTCCAGATTTCGTAATAAAGGGAGGGGGGTCTCATTTCGGGGGGGGTCTCTTCCAAGCTATCTTGGAGGGCCTGGGGGGGTCTGGGGACGATGTTTTGGAGGGTTCTCCCACGGGGGGGTCTAAAACTTCTCGTCTGGGAGGGTTGAGACCCCCTCCCTTTTATTACGAAATCTGGAGTACCGAGCACGCACGCAGAATGGTAATGCTGACGTTTTGTACAAGGTACGCGCTGCGTTTCAAAGCTACAAAGCAGGCGTACCAGGGCAGCTGAGAGCGTGAGCGATCCCAGCAACTCTTTCCTACAGCAAAGCCCGAGGAACTGATTCTACAAAAAAGACCTGATATTGTCACGAACCCCGACCTTGGAGGACAAATGGGCGTGAATTGCGAGACAAAGGACAACGAAAAAGAGCATGCTTGTAGGACGCATTCTGCTGGTTCCCGTGTTGTCAATTCGACGCTGTGCCGCTTTGTCGAGGCGCCTCCAGCCGTCGTGGGGCCCTCTTGGGGCTGTCCTGAGGCCCTGTTGGGTGCTTCTGGGGGCTTCCTGGAGGCGTGGTGAGGTCTTGAGGCTTGTTGGGGTCGTCTTGGGGGCCTCTTGGGGCCTCCTCAGGTCCTTCAGCCGTCCTGGGGCCCTCCCGAGGGAGTCCTGGGGCTCTCCGTTTGTCGCTCTGACGATTTGTCGAGGCGCTTCCAGCAGTCCTGGGGCCCTCTTGGGAGCTTCTGGGGGCTTCCTGGAGGCGTCTTGAGGCCTGGAGGCCTCTTGGGGTCTTCTTGGGGGTCTCTTGGGGTCTCATCAGGTTCCCGTGTTGTCCGTTTGACGCTGTGAGGCTTTGCCGAGGAACCTCCAGCCGTCCTGGGGTTATCGTGGGGCAGTGCTGCGCCCATGTTGGGCGCTCCTGGGGGCTTGATGGGGGCCTCTGGGAGGTTCTTAGGGGCCTCTTTGGGCCTCTGCAGGGGTTATCGGGGCCTCTTGGGAACTTCTTGGGAGTTTCTGGTGGCCTCTGGAGGGGTTATTGGGGCGGAGAAACCGAAACCTCAGATTTCGTCGGAGGTTGTGTCGGGGACGCTTCTGAAGAAAAGGTGACCAAGAAAACGACGATGCGTCTTGGAAGTGCGCGACTAGGCGAGTTACGAGGTGAGCTCAGCACGTGTCCATGCGAGCCATATGGAAGGGAGGGGGTGAGCTCAGCTCGCGACCATGCGAGTCACGAGGTGACCTCAGCACGTTCCCATGCGAGCCAAAAGGAAGGGAGGGGGCGCGGTTGCATATGACGGGCGGGAAGATTGAGTTTGGAGGATCTGGGGGCTCCTGGGGGCCGTCGGGTTTGGTTGGAGGTTGTGTCGAGGACGTGTCTGACTATATGAGGACTGGATTGGACAACTTGCGGCGGTCGGGGGCCGCATGCGGCCGTATTGAAGCCTCCTGAAGGCTTCTTGTAGGGCTCTCTGGCAATACGAAAAGTCGCTTGGGGTTTCTCTGCGGCAGCTGTCCAGAGGGAAAGGCGGCCAGATTAACAACGGTGCGTCTTGGAGGTGAGCTCAGAACGCGACCATGCGAGCCACAAGGGTTGAGCTCAGCTCGTTTCCATGCGAGCCCATAAGAGGAAAGCCAGGATGCGCATTACATTGGTTCCCGTGTGGTCCGACTGACGCTGTGCTGCTTAACGCGCGCTACAGTGGTTCCTGTGTTGTCCGTTTGACACCGTGGCGCTTTGCCGAGGCGCCTCCAGCCGTCGTGGGGCCCTCTCGGGGCTGTCCTGAAGCCCTGTTGGGCGCTTCTGGGGACTTGCTGAAGACCTCGTAAGGCGTAAGGTGAGCTCCAGAAATTTCCATACGAGCTAGGAAGTCTCGGGGCTGTCCGTTTGTCGCTGTGATGCTTGGGGGCCTCTTGGGGCCTCCTCAGGTCCTTCAGCCGTCCTGGGGCCCTCCTGAGGGAGTCCTCGGGCTGTCAGTTTGTCGCTCTGACGATTTGTCGAGGCGCCTCCAGCAGTCCTGAAATCTTGGGGCAGTCCTGGGGCGCTCTTGGGGGCTTGTCGGGGCTTTCTGGAGGCGTCTTGAGGCCTTGAGGCCTCTTGGGATCTTCTTGGGCGTCACTTGGGGTCTCATCAGGTTCCCGTGTTGTCAGTTTGACGCTGTGAGGCTTTGTCGAGGCGCCTCTTGCCGTCCTGGGGCTCTCTTGGGGCAGTGCTCGGCCCATCTTGGGCGCTTCTGGAGGCTTGCTGGAAGCCTCTGGAGGGTTCTTGGTGGCCTCTTGGGGCCTCTGCAGGTGGCATGATGGTTCCAATGTTGTCCATCTTGCTCTTCCAACAGAAACAAAACGGCACAAACACAATAGATCTGAGGTCCAGGCGGGTTGCTTGGATCGGCGCTGGGCCCCCGTCCCTGACGCGCCGCCAGGGGCCCAGCGCAGATCCAAGAAATCAACGCGGAACTCAGACAAAAATTGAATTCATGCCGATATTTCTTTTTCGGAATCAAATCTTTTCCTGGTGGGGCATCTTGGGCGCAATTGGGGAGTCCTTGGGGGCGCGTAGTTAGCGCGTTTTGTGGCCGTCTGGCACCTTTGGAGGCCGTCTGGTCGGCTTGTTTGAGCCGGCTTGGCATTCGAGATTCTGGAAAGGCTCACCGCAGACGTGACGACAGGGACAACGTCCGACGAAGAAAGCTGTTATGGCTTTTGGTTGCGCACAGACAGCCCCCCCAGGTAGTCCTGCCCACCTCAGCAGGCCCCCCGAGTAGTTCCAGCTGGCCTCCAAAGGCCCCCGGAGAAGGTCGGGGCGGTCTCAACTCGCGCCGCCTCTGGCGGCGCCCCTGAGGCGCTCCCCGCCCCAGGGTTGTGGTGTTTGAAGGGGCCCATGGACATACAAAAAAATCCACACTAATCCCAGGATTCACCATATTTTCATGTTTTCAAAATTTTCGCCTTCTCCCCCACAAGCCCCTCGCAGCTGACACAACAGCTGGCATTGCGAAAGAACACGCCTGGCCACTAAACGCTTGAGGCACGGCCTGAACGAAGAGGAAGGAGGACGCAGACGAGGAGGAGGGAGAGTGGGTACGGCAGGTTCGTGTCGTGACCACGTCAGCGTTAGTTTCTGACACCGCGGGGATCGTTCAACCTTGAACGATCGGCCGTATTCGAAACGTCAGATCGTTCAACATCGACCGATCCTTGGTCGCTGGCAGCAGTCACCATTGAACGCTGGCGGCGGGATCGCCGCCGGTCGACACGACTCGAACCTACGAACCTGCCACAGCGCGGTTGCCCAAAAAAGGCTGTCACAAACACCGTCTTGGGGGCGTCTCTGGGCCGTCTTCGGGCTCTCCTGGGCCCTTCTGCAGCGACTCTGCGGCCGTCTTCGGGGTCTTCTCGGCCGTCTGCGGGCCTTCTCGGGGGCCTTTTGAGCCATCTTTTCGTTTCCACAGGAAATCTTCGAAGTCGGCTGCGCAGCACGACACACGTAAGTGGCAGGTTGACTTGAAAGTGCAATGGTCTGGCCCTGTCCGCGCCACCCCCTCCTTGAAACTCGTGCAGAGGGACAAAAACTGAGCAAGCTCCGTGGAAGCTGCCAGACTGTCGCGGAGACTGGAAAAGACTGAAGAAATTCTTGTCCAACTCTCGAACCGTGTTCAATACGAGAAGGCACGGTCCTGCTTTTTGGCCTGCCAGTGGTAGGCTGACGACCCGCCGTCAATGTTCGGGTCATAGACGGGCTCGTCATTAGACCAAACGTCGTCCGAATCCACTCTCGGGGTGACCGCAATGTTCCCGTGCTTCCTCCGAGATTTCGTGCGACAAAACTTCGCCGTGGACCTTGTCGGAAATCGGTGAGTAATCGATGTGCGAACCTGACCAATTAGCCTTCTGCCACTTGTCAATAGTGTGGACGACAATGAGTGAGGTGCATGTGGTCACGGCCGTAACACCCGTGCTGAACGCGATAGCTGTATCCTGGAAGGCCACACCATGTCGTCAGGGTCGAGAGCAGTTCTGGCCTGGTGGACGTTGAATGAGGATCTAAATCGTACCCCATCATCAGCTCGCCAACCTGGTTTCCAATGTAGAGGTCGCCAGTCGAATCAGCCACCGGCACGGACCACTTGTTCGGATGACACTTTTCGCGGCCGCCCATGACCCGACGGATGTCTGCCCCCTCCTTGTCGCCAGCACAGAAACCGGTCCACAACGTCGAGCCCTCCTTTATCCACCCGGTGTGGCCCTTATTTGGGTCGAGGCCCCAGATCTGGCTGGAGGCGCCGAGGTAGCAATTGCTGGAGGCCCAGGTCTGGCTGGAGGCCCCAGATCTGGCCCATAATGACCACCAGGCGGGTGTGGGATGAGGGGCCGTTGGGCGAGCTGATGCTGGCGCTGGCCGGCGGCTCGGGCGTCTCCAACTCCCAGACCCTCCTGCCAAAGGATGACGCCCCGCGTGCCTGGCCACGGCCAGCATGAAGGGATGATACCAGGAACTGGGTAAGGATTGCAGCGGCCATGGTGTAGTGCTTCACGCCCAAGGCAATAAGTATGTTGTGGCCCGGGCTATGCACCGCGCTGCATTGGCGTGCGTCCCGATGTATCCACCGACCTTGTATATCTCGGCGCCTGTCAGGTAGTCCAGGCTGTCCTTCCAGTCCTGGAACATCACGCTGGTACCGGGACCCCACAGAGGGATCATGCTCCACATTGGCTGGAACGTCTTGTACTGCCAGACAGAGCTGCCGTCCGCAGCGCTCAGGCCACGCACCCACTGATTGCCTGGTGAGTTGCGACCATTACGATACCGCCCTCGCAAGCCGCAGAGCCCTTGATGCCAGCGATTTCGTTCGAGGCCCAAGTTGCCCACAACTCATCTCCGCTGCCGAAGTCAATCGCGAACACGCAGGCAGAAGTGGTTCTACCCACCAGCATGGCGAGCAGTATGGTGCCCCGCTTGTCCACGCGCGTGAAGCGCTTCTCCATGGCGTGGAGCTGCACCACCGTCTTGTCCCCGCTGCGCGTCCACATTATGACGGCCCTGCTGTCCTTGCCCTGCTCACTTGGGACGACGCCAGAGACCGCGTGCCTTCGTCGCAGGCCCTGAAAAGCCCCCTGCCGTCCACTCAATTGCTCGCGCCAGGCTTCACCTTGACCATGTCGCCGACGGAGGTCCCTGGTACGTTGGGAAGCCGTGCCGGACTCGTTGCCCTGGGCCCAATCTGGCCGCGCCACGTCCTCTTGCCATCCGAAGATCATGTCGGAGGACGCAAGACGCCTTGCACAGGCGGGGCACAGGCTGGGCGCCGCCGCGAATTGACCTCGGGGGGCGCAACTCCACTTGATTACACCGTTGACGTCGAACTTCTGGATGGCGCTGCTGGCTCCGATGTAGATGTTGTTCTGGTCGTCAAGGAGGGGGCTGCCAACTGGGATGGTGTTGTAGACTCTGGACGGGTGGTGCCATCCCCAGGTCACACTTGCTGCGAGGTCCGTCGCGCCAGTAAAAATAATGTCCTCGCGGTTGGCGGACTCGGCCCCAAAGAACTTGACACCACTTCTCTTGACGCGCTTGGACTCGTAGTTCTGGTACCGTGTGACGCCCGCCTTGCTATTCATTCCCATGGCAGCCCGATACGATTTCTCGTCAGCAGACTGAGCGAAATGACTCGTCACGCCACCGAAGACCCTGCCCTGCCCGCCGGCATCGCTGACGCGCACCATCGGCCCAGAGGCCGTCCCGAGACGGGCGGCGCGGGGGCGCCTCGGCGCCTTCAAGTCTTGAAGATCTGGAATTCTCGGTCGTCTCCAACCAGCGCTTGAACTGCCGACCCGGTCGCCGAACGCGATGGTCAGGGTCCCAGTCGAAGGCAAAACATGCCCAAGATCTGGTCTCCGAGCGCACTCGCTCAAGCCAGTGAGCTGGCGTACTCCAAAAGAGAAGATCCCCCTGCGAAGATGACGACCTGCGAGCTTCGATCGCACATCGATGCCTAAGAACCTGCAACGAGTAAGTGAAGACTGGCAACTATCGTGGCCATCTGCACTGTGACGACGAAGAGGAGGAGGAGGAGGAGGAGGAGGAGGAGGAGGAGGAGGAGCAGGAGGAGGAGGAGGGGGAGGAAGAGCGGGAGCGGGAGCGGGGGCGGGAGCGGGAGAGGAGGAGGGAAAACCCGGAGGTGACCGAAGGTGAGGCTGCTCCACAACCTTAAGTGTGAGGGTACCGGTTCTTACGTACGTAGAGTGTGATAGCCCCCGAAATCGAGCAGAACTCTCGAGCCGAGATGGCTAAGAAGGGCAGCCTTTTGAGCTATCTTGGGGCCCATTGGGACCATGTGGCGGGTGTCTGGCACCTTCTTGGGGCCATCTGGGAGGCCCCCTCCTAACTTTCTATATGTCTCGCTCTCCTCCTCCTCTTCCTCCTCCTCCTCTTCTTCTTCTTCTTCCTCCTCCTCCTCCTCCTTCTGTTCTACCTCCCCTGCCAGCTTTCTGTATATCTCACATTGCATGTGTCCAGACACGCAAGAATCCAGAGGCCACGGCCTCACGCACCTGGTCTGAGCAAGGCCAAGGCGTTTGTCTGCAGCGGTGGTGGCTCGTTCGTTCATCTGGGAGGCCTCTGGGACCGCTTGTGCCTGCTAGAAGGAAGCAAAGGAGGGCGCGCAAATCTGTCAAAAAAACGAACAAGGAAATCTATGGCTTGGGCTTTGTGACGCCGTCCTGGTGGACCTCTTGGGAACTATTGGGGTTCTCTTGGGCAGTCTTGAGGCAGTGTTGGACAAACCTGGGGCCGTCTTAGGCCTCTCGGAGGCGTCTTCGAGGCCGTCTTAGGCTGTCTTGTATCCTTTTGGCCCTTCGGCAGGCCCCGTGCCGACTGGGTACTGGCGGCATGACACAGTGGGAACCCCCCCAGAAGGCCGAGGAAGTCAAGCCTTAGGTCGGGCATTCCCTCCTACAGCCAGATTTTGGAAAAGAGATGGAAAGAGTCAAAACTATTTTAACATAGTCAACCATAATCAAAACAGCGTCCCCTGAGTCTTTGTTGGCTATGTTCGAATATTCTTCCTGTAGAGGAACATGCCCGACATCAGTCGAGCCCCCGGTCTCGTGCTGGGGCACGATCACGCCAACATTTTGACACGGATCCAGCCGTGGCCAGGGCAGCCCCCTCAGCAGGCCAGAGAATGCCCCCAAACATCCCATAGGGGGGCCACATGCGAACCCTACCCCTACCCCACTCAGAAGTCGTGGGGGGTAGGGTGCTGGGCTCGTTTTCCACCACCACCACCATAAGTTGGAGGGGGATGGGGGTCCTCCTCCTCCTCCTCCTCCTCCTCCTCCTCCACCTCCTTCCCCCCTCCAACTTATGGTGGTGGTGGTGGAAAACAGGCCCATCATAGGGGTAGGGTTCGAATGTGACCCCCTATCCAAGCCCTCGATGGTCGATCTTCGCTCCTCGATGCCGATCTCTCCAAGTCGCCAGAGGTCGAGGTCCAGGTCTCCGAAGGCTTCTGGAAGTTTCCGAGGTAGAAAGCAGAACAACACCATCGCAACAAGCATCCCGACAAGCGAAGGCGTGCAGTAAACTCACCCACAGAAGGAAGGACACGAGACGGACAGGGCTGTTTGGCGAACGCCCAGGACCGTTTGGCAAACTCCATTCACGGTGGTCGGGGTCATTTTCCCTCTCTAGACGGAGCTCCCCGCTGAGGTTTCATGAGGCCCGTGCCGAGGCCTCCGGGGATCACGTCAAGACGTTCGAACGTGTTCGAAACCCTCGCAATCTCCTGGGCGTTTTGCTCGAGACGCCATCCTCATCCTCCTCCTCCTCCTCCTCCTCCTTCTCCTCCTCCTCCTCCTTCTGCTCCCCCGTGCCATCCCACTCCTCCTCATCCTCCTCCTCCTCTTCCTCCTCCTCCTCCACCTCCTCCTCCTCGTCCTCCTCCTCGTCTGGGGAAACCAAGAGGTACCAATACCGCTACTCCCCAGACCTTTCCTGCAGTGCGGTCTGACCAGGACTTCGAGGCGAATCCAGCGGTGGCGACGAGAGCCTCCCAGGAGGCCCAGAAGGGGGAAAACGAAGGAAACGTATAGCGGTGCGGGTACCCTTTGCTTCTCCTCCTCCTCCTCCTCCTCCTCCTCCTACTCCTCCTCCTCCTCCTACTCCTCCTCCTCCTCCTAGGCCCGGGGGGGGGTCCAAGAGGGGGCCTCTCGCAGAAATCATGACCCGAGCCAGGTGCGCGGACCAACGGGGGGGGGGCCAGGGAACGCACTGAAACAAGAAGAGGGGCCATGACGATAAGGGGGGGGACTGGCACAGGGGAGATGCATCGACCTGGGATCGGCGATACAGCGTCGATGGATCGGCGATCGGCCCCCGACAGTGAATCCGCACCTTCCTGTGCAGGTTGGGGCTGTCGGGCCCCTATCGGTGATCAATGGGCGAGTGGGGGTCGATGCATCCCCCCCTATGCGCATCCAGCCCTATCGTTGCCCCTGAATGGCCCTGGCCATGATAGACGACCCCTTCCCTACAGCCCTTCTTGAAATCAAACGCAATGTGTCCCACGTCATGGCGACGCCCCCGGACCCCCCCTTTCCACTCACGTTGACGCCGGCACTAGCGACTGCAAGTTGTGGGTTGACCCCGCGGGCCGCGCTACGCGCGCCCATTGGGGATAACTCGGGGCCGAGGGGGTCGGACCAGAGCCTGCAACTGACTTCGAGGAGGGTTGCAATCTTGGCCGCACCCGCCAAGAGCTCTGCTCGGGCCCTCGGCCGGCCGTGGTCCTCCAGACCGCCGCGCGCCGCGGCGCGCCGGAGCAGGCCTAGGAGCTGAGCCCCGGCGCCTTGCGCGGGGCCAGAAGCCCCTTCCTGCCCACAGCTCGGTGATCCCCAGGACTCGTACCCGGGCCCAAACACGCTCGCCTCGTTCAGAAAAAATCTGGACGGAGGTCTTTCGCCGTTTGTGGCCTCCGCGGGCCCTCGCCGGGCCCCGGGACCGTCAGAAAACGACCCTGGATGAAAAATTTGCCCCAGGGGAACGGTCGGGACTTCCAGGGACCACGGATTGAAAGAATCAAGACTATAGCTCCTGGAGTGCTACAAGGGTTTGACATTAGAAGCCGGCTGGCAAGGGTAGCCCTGGAGCGTGTGCTATCGGCTACACGCACACGCAAGAGTGACCCCAGAGGCAAGAGTAACCTTTGGTGCGCGGCTTTAGGAGGCGCGGGGGGGGGCGGGCCAAACCTAGCGCGCAAGCCACTGCTATTGCATCGCCTTCAGCGATCGAAGTGTTCGTGGGCCCGCACTAAAGGTCACTCCAGCGAAGGGTCACTCTTATTTGTAGTTGATGCTAGTACCAACGCGTGTTTGTTCAACGGGGCCCTCCAATACGACGCAGGAGGCGCAACGAGGGTGGACGCAGGCTGCACGCTAACGGCGGAGCTGTCCCCTTCTCGATGATCCTAAGAACGTGTTCCCAGATAGCTCTTGGAGAGCTAAAAGGATTTCAGATTAGAAGCCGACTGGCAAGGGTAGCCCCGGAGCTCGACCTGGCTTCCTGCTAGAATCCCCGCTGCGCCTTGCTTGAGCCAGCAGCTTGTCCCTGAAGGCCTTTTGTAACTGTTGCCCAATACGACTGCCCTGAAGCTCTCCAGAAGCTGCTTGCCGAAGCTTCCAGAGCTCCTTCGAAGGATCTTCCCGAAGCTTCTGTCGCCTCGCAACCCTGGTTTGGGACACCTGGCGCCAACCCGTGTTTGTCCACCGGGGCCCTTCCATACGACGCAGGCGGCGCAACGAGAACGACAAAGCCAGGGCGGGGATAAAATCGGGTGAGGATGAATCCGCCGACCCCTTGCGGGTCCCTAGGCGTGTGGGATTCTCCCCCCCCACAACCACCCAGACACAGACGTTCCTCCTCAGGTTTCGCAGGTTTCGCACCGAGTTCTAGCACGAGCAAACTCAAACTAGACCTCCTCCTCCTCCTCCTCCTCCTCCTCCTCCTCCTCCTCCTCCTCCTCCTCCTCCTCCTCCTCCTCCTCCTCTGCTCCTCCTCCTCCTCCTCCTCCTGTTCCTCCGCCTCCCTCCCCTCCCCCTCCTCCTCCTCCTCGATCTCCTCCTCCTCTCTCATCATCTCCTCCTCCTCCTCGATCTCCTCCTCCTCCTCCTCCTCCTCCTCCTCCTCCTCCTCCTCCTCCTCCTCGATCCTCGATCCTCCTCCTCCTCCTCCTCCTCCTCCTCCTCCTCCTCCTCCTCCTCCTCCTCCTCCTCCTCCCCGGACGAGGAGGCACTTCTGGCCGCGGCGCCCTGCTCCGGCGGAGCCGCGGGCCCGCCCTGGGCGAGCGGCGGCGGCCTCAGGAGGGCCAGGGCCCCCGTGGAGGGCCCGCCGCCCCCGCCCGCGGCGAGCCGGGAGCCGCGGGCGGGGCCCAAGGCCAGCGCGAGCGCCGCCAGGGCGAGGAGCGGCGGCAACATCGGCGGCCGCGCGGTGGCGCCCGCCGCACCCCACGGAGCTGTCCGGTGATCTTCAGCACGTGTGCCAGCATCGAGGCGCGCTTGTCCACCGAGGGCCATTCGATGCGGCGCAGGCGACGCAGCAAGGGCCAACACAGACTGCGCGCCATCGGCGGAGCCGAGAAAGGTAGACACACGCTTCGGCTAACACACGTCCTGAGGAGCATCGAGTTTTTCCTCTTCAGCGCATGGCGGGCCGGTGGCCGCGGCAGGGCCTGGACTGCATTAGCGGCTTGGGCAAGGCTGCGGGCCGGGGCGGCGGAGGCGTCGGCGGCCCCACACCCCCTGGTGCTCTGCGGCGGTCCCTCGGCGTCGGGCTCGAGGGCAGGCCCGAGCTGGGTCGAGCCGCGGAATCGCATCGGATCGGCAACGGGTCGGATCGCCAGCGCATCGTCTGGAACCGAACCAGAATCCTGATCGCCGCGCCTGTCGGACGTCCAAAAGGGGGGGGGGTCGCAAATCATGGCCCGAATCATGGCCCGATGCATGCGCGGGGACCAGGGGGGGCCAGGTGACGTATTAAAGAATAAGAAGGGGAACGGAAGCTGGAAGAGATATCGTGGCCCCGTCATGATATCCACCCCGTCCTGATCATCACCCCCTCTCTTGGCCGCCCCTGAACCTGGCTTCGGCTGGCCCTGGCCGATGCCCGTGAAGTCGAACCGAACCGAATAGAAGCAGAATCGCAGCCCCAGCCGGCGAATCGAATCGCACCTGCTAAGACCGGGAGCGGCCCTGGGAAGGTCCGCAGTCGAGCAATGGCTGGGCAGGTTATTTGATGAGGGTGGGCCCTGGGGCCCGATGCCCCCCAGCGAAGCGCCCTTCTGGTGCCATGACTGTCGCGGGGTCTGAATGTCTCAGATGTGTGGCCCGCAGTGAGATGTGAATTCGATTGGCCTCCACACATCATTCGTTTCTGGACGGCAGTCTTCACGAGGGTCAGCCTTTGCTACGCGAAACGGAAAATGCCCAGCTCGTTTGCTTCGGTACTTTGTTTGTGTGATCAGCAGCGGTGGATCTTGTAAGCCTTTGGTCCAGACCTCCCGCTCGGAATGCGCGGGCGGCGTGTTCTGGTAACCCTTTGGTCCAGACCTCCCGCGCGGAATGCGGATGCTGCATTGCTTCGCTTCGGTACTTCTTTTCACTGCACAATTCTCCGCGCGAAGCAATAGCAACTCCCAGCAGCTCCCATACGTAATAATACGAAGGGTAATCAATGAAGGGGCCCAGGGACACACAAATAAATGGGCACAAATCCCAGGATTCCCCACATTCTGGTTGCTCGGCGTCCCACCCACTTCCCATAGCTTCCTATGTGTTTCCCTGGATCGACGATTATTCGTGTCTGTGCTTTTTTTCACTCCTCACAATAGCAACTCCCAGCAGCTCCCATACATACACGAGGGGGTCAACAAGGGGCGCACTCTTCTGACACTGCACACTCGGCGTACATGTGCCACGAGGGTAAAGGAAACACCTTTGACCCGGGGGCTCTTCCCAGAGAACTGCTTCTTGCCCTGAGTCTCGCCATCGCTCGGACGTCTATTCCCCGTGCATTTGTCTCGCAGGATGATCAAGGATGCTCATCGATGGTTCTCGCCAGAAAAACGCACGCGTCCGAGTGATGCCAAGGAGTCGTTCTTTTACAGCCCCAGAGCCCGTGGAGTGCCCCAAGAGGCCGAAAGTTGGGAAGCATCTCAAGACCCGTCTCTCTCCCTCTCTCTCGCTCTCTCTCTCTCTCTCGCTCTTTCTCTTTCTCCTTCTTTCTCTCAGAACCCCCTCTCTCCACGACGACCGCACAAACCGGCCACGTGACCCTCTCCGAGCCCGTGCCGCCCACAACTTCGAGGGCACTCAAGATGGATTACAACGATAACGATCACAACGATCATCACGATAGCAACGATAACAACGACAGCAGCAATAGCAATGGTAAAACAAACGATCGTTATGATCGTTGCCGTTGTGAGCGCCATCGTTGTTGTCTTTGCGGCCGCTATTGCTCTTATCAGGCATGTCGGCGGGTTCCCTAGGTGAGCCCGTCGTGGCGCCCAGGCCTGGCTGCGCGCCACGTGGACGCGCTGGCGCGGCCGCATGGCGCCTCGACCATGGCTGCAAGCTTCGGGACACGTGCCCGATGGGGCCCCAGCGCGTCCCCTGCAACCGAAAGTCCAGGCAGGGGCGCCTCACGAGCCTGGCCGCGAGTCTGGCAGGCTTCAGTACGGCCTTCGGGCGAAGTTGTCGTTCTGCACAACAATATAAAAAAAACTCCATAAACATAAGCTGTTGGCGCTCCGCGCGGATTTCTTGGATTCTCACTGGACCCCCCTCCCCGCGCGCTCCGCTCGCCAGGGGCGGCGCCAGAGGCGCCGCGAGGGGGGCCCAGCGCGGATCCAAGCAATACGCGCGGAGCGCCACAGGTTTATGTTTATGTGTGTTTCTCCTTCGAGAGTTGTCAATCTCATCGATGCCGCGGCGACGCTCCAACCTGGAGCGCGGCAAAGGGCGGCGCTGGGTGGCGCTGGGCAGCGCAGCGGAGCGCCTGCCGGCTCGTCGTGCCCCGCCCCCGGCCGGGCGCCGCCCCAGCTCCTGCGGCGCAAGGGGGGGGTCCTCCTCCTCCTCCTCCTCCTGCTCCTCCTCCTCCTTTCCCTCCTCCTTCTCCTCCTCCTTCTCCTCCATTTTCCCCTCCTCCTTTTCCTCCTCCTCCTCCTCCTCCTCCTTCTTTTCCTCCTCCTTCTCCTCGATGTTATCCTTCTCCTCCTCCTCCTCCTCCTCTTCCTCCTCCTCCTCCTCCTCCGCATCCTCCTCCTCCTCCTTCTCTTCCTCCTCCTCCTCCTCCTCCTCCTCGTCCTCCTCTTCCTTGTCCTCCTCCTCCTCCTTCATTTCCTCCTCCTTCTCCTCCACCCTCTCCTCCTCCAACTCCTACTCCTCCTCCTCCTACGTACTCCGTTCTCAGCTCCTCCTCCTCCTCCTTTTCCTCCTCCTCCTCTTCATGATCCTCCTCCTTCTTTTCCTCCTCCTTCTTCTCCATGTTCTCCTCTTCCTTGTCCTCCTCCTCCTCCTCCGTTTCCTCCCTCGTTTCCTCCTCCTCCTCCTCCTCCTCTTCCTCCTCCTCCTCCTCCTTTTCCTCCTCCTCCTCCTCCTCCTCCTCCTCCTCCTCCTCCTCCTCCTGGGCGATAAATGAACGGGGGAGAAGCGTGCACTTTTCGGGCCCTACAGGCCCCCTTTTCGACCCTAGAACCCTAAAGGGCCCCTTCTATAGGGCCCTAAGGGGCCCCTTTCCTGCAACCCTCGCTGGCCCCCTCCATGTATTATCGCCCCCCCATTAAGCGACGCTCAACACCGTTGGGATCGCAAATTTCCCGTGCGGGAGGGGGGGCACTCCAAAATATTTTGAGGAAGCACGATGGAATCCGTGCACCTCCCAACCCGAAATTTTTGGCGGGTCTGGGACCTTCGGGTTGAGTTGGGGTGATTGCGAGCCCATCGGTCGTTTTAGCTGGACCATGCATTAAAAAAACGTCACGGAGACGCAGCAACGTTTGGGCGTAGTGTAGCAATTTGGTGAGTAGTGGCCCATCTGTCGCGCCACAGGTCTGATGCCCTGGCCTTGGCTGCCCGACGCTTCGCTGCTCCACGTCGCCGCCGTCAAAACAGTTTCGAGCCGCCCGAAGTCTTGGCACGGCAAGTGTGTGTCGTGACGACTCCGGCAGTGGCCTCTAGCACGGCGTGCTGGAAGCCATTGCCATATCATCCAATCGCCATACCATTACATGCGGGCCAATTGTCACTGGCGACGATCAACCTTGAGCTTAGACCGGGCATGTCCTCCTACAGGCGGATTTTGGACAACAAGTAAACATACCCCCAAACATATTTCAAAAATACTCAAGAAATCGTGCCAATACTATTTGTTGACTATTTTTGGACATTCCTCCTGTAGATGAGACAGGCCCGACTTCACCCCATGGGCGCCAGGAAGGCCCCGGTGGGGCCGAGGGCTGCGGAGAGCCTCATGACCCGCTCCCCTCAGAGCTGAAGGGCGCACGTCGCCGCCGTCCCCGCCGTCGCCTGCGTCGTCGGCCTCGTCGTCTTCGTCGTCGCCGGTGACGGCGCAGGTGTCGGCGACGGTAGCGTCGGCGGCGTCGCAACCGAAGGTCGGCGCCCTCGTCGGTCGGTCGGCGGGTGCCCGCGTCGACGGCGCAACGCGGGGCCTTCTGCGGCCGAGGGGCTGTCCGGGCGACACGTCGGCGCCGCCCTCCGCCGCCGCGGGGGCTCCTGCGGCGCGTCGCGGGGGGCGAGCGCAGTGCTCTGCTGCACGGCGGCTCACGCGGCGAGGTGGCCGAACAGGTGCAGAGGAGCCCTGTGTCCTCCTCCTCCTCCTCCTCCTCCTCCTCCTCCTCCTGCTGCTGCTGCTGCTGCTGCTGCTGCTGCTGCTGCTCATCCCCCCTCCTCCTCCTCCTCCTCCTCCTCCTCCTCCTCCTCCTCCTCCTCCTCCTTTCTCCTCCTCCTCCTCCTCCTCCACAATTACTAAATATGAATACTACTCTCCCTCTTCCCCTGATGACGTCTTGGGAATATTCGCCCCCCCCCCGCGTATTGTTTTTTACACACAAGTTTCCCAGGAGTTGGGTTTTCGCCTGCATTTGTGTCCAAAATGCTGCTCTCGCTGAGGCGCCGGCCTCATTTTCGGGCCCCGCTCGTTCCGAATCGTGCTCCCGCTGCAACGCTGGCATCATTTCCGCCGGCGCCCGGGCTGCACGCCGGCGCTCGGGCCGGGTCCGGAGCCGCTTCCGGCTGGCGCCGGAAAATCGAATTCCGAGGCGGCGCCGAAAAAAGGCCATTCCAATACATTTTTCCTTTTGAAAATGCTGAAGTTCTGCTTCCGGCACCCGGGAGGCCTCCCGGGCCGATTCCGACGCCCAGGCCAGCGCCCGAGCCGGCGGGCCGGACGCCCGAGCCGAAGCCCGGGCCGGCGCTCGGGCCGGGTCCGGAGCCGGTTCCGGCCAGCGCCGGAAAATCGAGTTCCGAGGCGGCGCCGAAAAAAGGCCATGCTGCTCTCGCTGAGGCGCGGGCCTCATTTTCGGGCCCCGCTCGTTCCGAATCGTGCTCTCGCTGCAGCGCTGGCCTCATTTCTGTGCTTCCGCTCGTTCCGAATCGTGCTCCTCGCTCTCCACCTTCCGCACCTTGCGCGCGGCAGGTTCCACGCCGCGGCGGCCGCCGCCGCGGCCGCCACTGCGGCTTCCGCCGAGGCCGCAGCAGCGGTTTCGGCGGCGGCGGCGGCCGCCGCGGCGCGGCACCTGCCGCGCGGAAGGTGTGGAAGGTGGAGGGCCAGGGTCATTTCCGCGCTTCAGCTCTTTTCGACTCGTGCTCCCGCTGCAGCGCTGGCGTCATTTCCAGTGCCATGCCACGGCATGCAATGCAATGCTAGGCTGATACTACGCTTCGCGGTGCTCTTCTACGCCATGCCATGCCGTGCTCTACAATGCATTGCGTACCCTTTCGGGATCATCGCCCTGCTTGACATCCGACTGTGCGAGTAGAGAGGGGATCTGCGCCATGGTAAGGGATGGGAGGGAGGGGTAGGATGTCAGATATGACGCGAGCGCACCTAGCTTGTCCCCCCCCCTCCTTCTCCTCCTCCTCCTCCTCCTCCTCCTCCTCCTCCTCCTCCTCCTCCTCCTCCTCCTCCTCCTCCTCCTCCTCCCTCCTCCTCTCCTCCTCCCCTCCTCCTCCACCGCCTCCTCCTCCTCCTCCTCCTCCTCCTCCTCCTCCTCCTCCTCCTCCTCCTCCTCCTCCTCCTCTCCTCCTCCTCCTCCTCCTCCTCCCCCTCCTCCTCCTTCCTCCTCCTCCTCCTCCTCTCCTCCTCCTCCTCCTCCTCCTCCTCCTCTCCTCCTCCTCCTCCTCCTCCCTCCTCCTCCTCCTCCTCCTCCTCCTCCTCCTCCTCCTCCTCCTCCTCCTCCTCCTCCTCCTCCTCCTCCTCCTCCTCCTCCTCCTCCTCCTCCTCCTCCTCCTCCTCCTCCTCCTCCTCCTCCTCCTCCTCCTCCTCCTCCCTTTTCCTCCTCCTCCCCTCCGTCTCCTCCTCCTCCTCTTCCTCTTCCTCCGGTCCCCTCCCCTCTTCTCCCTTTCACCTCCTCCTCCTCTTCCCGCGTTCCCTCCGCCTCGTCCTCCTGCTTCTTGTTCTCCCCCTCCTCCTACATCACGTTTCCTTGTGCACAGCTCCATCACACCCCGAGGCGTGTCGGTATGGTGTACCCCGCGTTTGGCAATGGACATTCTCACCACGTATGAGCCTGAAGTTAGAAAATTGCAACAGCTTCAAGGGTTGAGTGATGGGCCTGTTTTCCACCACCACCACCATAAGTTGGAGGGGGAGGGGGTCCTCCTCCTCCTCCTCCTCCTCCTCCTCCTCCTCCTCCCCCTCCTCTTCCTCCTCCTCCTCCTTTTTTCCTCCTCCTCCCCCCCCTCTCCTCCTCCTCCTCTTCCTCTTCCTCCGGTCTTTCCTCTTCTTCTCCCTTTCACCTCTCCTCCTCCTCTCCTCCTCCTCCTCCTCCTCCTCCTCCTCCTCCCCCTCCTCCTCCTCCTTCTCCTCCTCCTCCTCCTCCATCCTCCTCCCCCTCCGTCTCCTCCTCCTCCTCTTCCTCTTCCTCCGGTCCCTCCTCTTCTTCTCCCTTTTATCTCCTCCTCCTCCTCCCGCGTTCCCTCCGCCTCGTCCTCCTGCTTCTTCTCCTCCCCCTCCTCCTACATCACGTGTCCTTGTGCACAGCTCCATCACACCCCGAGGCGTGTCGGTATGGTGTGCCCAGCGTTTGGCAATGGACATTCTCACCACGTATGAGCCTGAAGCTAGAAAATTGCAACAGCTTCAAGGGTTGAGTGATGGGCCTGTTTTCCACCACCACCACCACCATAAGTTGGAGGGGGAGGGGGTCCTCCTCCTCCTCCTTCTCCTCCTCCTCCTCCTCCTCCTCCTCTTCGTCCTCTTCCTCCTTCCCCCCTCCAACTTATGACGGTGCCTGGTGGAAAACGAACCCATCATGGAGGGTTGGCCGTTTTCAAAATGGAGCTGTCGCCTGAGCGCAGCACGCGTTCGTTTAAACAAATCTGCAGCGGCTTCACGGACGGAGGGGGGGGCGTTTTCAAAGTGGAGCTCTTGCCCCCAGCGCCGCGCACATTCGTCCTACAAGTGTGTACCAACTTCAAAGATGCAAAACGGGTCGTTTTCAAAGCGGGGCTCTCGCCTTAGCGCCGCGCGCATTCTTCCGAACAGTTCACAACGCCTTCAGTGGCGAAGGGGGGGTGCTTTCAAAATTAAGATCTCGCCCCTAGAGCCGCGCACATTCGTCCTAAACGTGTATAGGAAATTCAAGACTTCAGGGCGGGCCGTTTTCAACGTGGGGCTCTGCCTAAGCGCCGCGCACATTCGTCTGGAACGTTCGCAGCGCCTTCAATGATGGAGGGCGGTTCCTGTTCAGAATCGAGTTCTCGTTATAGCGCCACGCCCAGTCGTTGTAAAAGCAGGCAATACTTACAAGGACGGTGGGTGGTTGCCAAAGTGGGTTTTCGCTGAAGACTCCTTTACCTAAAACAGAATCGAACATATGCAACAGCTGCGCGCATACAGGGCGGCTCCTTTTCTCAACACCTGGGGGTTCGTCTGTGGCGCACTCGAGTTGAAAGACCAAAACGCGTCACCAAAAGGTGCTGCTGCACGGATGAAAGGCGGTTATTTGCCACAGTGAGCTAAACATGTGATTCACGCCTCTTCACAACAAAAACCAAACTCTTCAACACATCGCGTTGTATGCTGCTGCACGGGCTGGGGGGGGGGGGCGTCTTCTTTTCAAATTGAGGCTCTCGCTTTAGACTTCTTCGGCGCTCATGGCCACACATTGCTCATGGCGGTCTCAAAACGGTGGTATCGCTGGACACCTCGTTTAAATGTATGCCCGTACCATTGCGTATTCTGTATCACTCGCTGGAAGGATGGACTGATGCAGGGGACCATTCTTTTTAAAACGGAGCTCTCGCCTGAATAGCAGGCCATGAGGTGCTGGTCTTTCAACTGGACGCCCCTTGAAGTGGAGAGGAACGCTTGCAGGGACTTGCGAGGAGAGGACTTGGGGCGGTATGATGCATTGCAGCATCGGTGGCACAGCTTGGGTTTACTCTGGTCCTCCTCCTCCTCTTCCTCTTGTTCCTCCTCCTCCTCCTCCTCCTCCTCCTCCTCCTCCTTAGTCGCCTCCTCCCTCCTCCTCCTCCTCCTCTCCCTCCTCCTCCTCCTCCTCCTCCTCCTCCTCCTCCTCCTCCTCCTCCTCCTCCTCCTCCCACCTTCCTCATCCTCCCCGAAGGCTAAGCAAAGTCTTCCAAACACTCTACATGAATCCTAGGCGCCACACCCAATATGTGACGGAACATGCCCGAAACATCATCGTCGTTTGCAACAGGTGCGGCTGTATGTCGTAACTTCGTAGAGCTGTGAGATTGGACGGCACCTGCAAAAGCAAGATGGAAACGGACCCTCGAACCAGCAAGTGGTCAAAGGGCACGGCGAGGTCTTCATCTGGATCATACGCGAGGCCATCTAGTTCTAGAATCGGTGACTCACTTCTCAACCATGTCTCAAATTGAGGGGGACTGACACAAGATCACATTGCACACGCCGAAGAGCACTGGGCAAGCGCGTTCCACTACTCGCAAAATCACTACTCGCAAATAGCATGGATCCGCCGTGGGGGATTTACGGAATATTTCATCGAGACGAACGTGTTTTTTTCTGACGTTTGCGAATAGGCACTTTGCGAGTAGTGGAACGCGCTCGGCGAAGCACGGAATGTCGAACGACAGCTGTGTCCCGCACTCCAGCACGGAGGGGTTGTGGGATTCTGGGACTACTCGGCGGACCCGGGGGAAGATGCCCAGAATCCGACTTCCAAGGGCCATGTCTCAAATTGAGGGGGACTGACACAAGAGCACATGGCACACGCCGAAGAGCACAGAATGCTGAACGACAGCTGTGTCCCGCACTCTGGCATGGAAGGGTTTTGGGATTCTGAGTATCCTTCAACTGATCCCCATCCCCAGCGGCGTGGCCTGGGTCCCACTGGCCGATTTACCCCCCTGGATGGGGATGTATGCCGTACCCCCCGGGTTTCGAGGGGGAGTATCCCCAACTGGGGTGGTAATTTGGTGGGGGGTTCGAAGGGGATGGAGACAGGGATGGGGATCGGTTAAAACGATGCCAAGACTACTCCGCAGACCGGGCGGGAAGATGCACG